CTATCAATTTCTCTCATATTGAGAGATCTCACAGATATTTTCTCTCTCTCTCTTGAATCTTCCCTGTGCTTGAGATCTTGTGCCAAATACCTTTATGGTATCATCGCCATCGATCCATGGCAACCTCTGCTTCCGCTCCCACTCTACACACCTTCTCCAACCCTGTTTCGTTCAAACTTGATGAAACGAATTTCCTACCATGGAAACAACAGGCTCTTGCAACTATTCGAGGATTCAAACTTCAACAACTTCTTGATGCACCTCCAAGCTCAGATCTTGATGAATCTGAGTCGCTATGGCAGCAACAAGATCAACTACTCATGTCCTGGTTACTTTCCTCCATGTCTGAAGCTCTCTACACCAGAATGGTAGGATGCACCTCCTCCTCTCAGATCTGGGAGAAACTAGAGGAATTTTTTGCGTCACAAACGCGTGCAAAAATCAAACAGCTCAAACAACAGCTGAAATCAACAAAGAAAGATGGACCAATTTCTGGTTACCTACTCAAGATCAAGAAAATCGTGGACTCTCTTGCTGCCACTGGATCTTCTGTGAGCTCTGAAGATCATATTGATGCCATTCTTGATGGCTTGAATGAGGACTATGATCCTTTCGTAGTCTCAGTCACATCAAGAACCGATCCATACACAGTAACAGAAATGGAGGCTCTGTTAATGGCTCAAGAAGAAAGAATTGAAAAGCGATCCAAGACTGAGCTAACTGTCTTGCAAGCTCATGTTGCACAAATGCAATTTAGAAAACCTAATGCTCAAGGTTTTAACCGTGGAGGTTCTTCCTACTTCAATCGTGGTGGTGGTTTTTCCCAAAGAGGAAGACAGAACCGAGGAGCTCGCTCAAACAATTTCAATGGCAGACTGTACTGTCAAGTATGTGGCAAGCCAGGTCACATTGCCTGGAATTGCTATCACAGGTATAACCAGGACTATCCAAATCCCACTGAGCAAGTCAAGAATGACAAGTTTACTCCTCAGAACTCACAGATTCAAGCTAATGTTGCTATGACTGGATCTGCTGAGCAAGATACTCCAACTGAAAATACAACTGACTACTTCTCTGTATTTGACCAAGCTTGGTACCCTGACTCAGGCGCAACCAATCATCTCACTCCTAGTGCTGGTAATCTCTTATCCAAAACAAATTATAAAGGTCAAGAATCTGTTCAAATAGGCAATGGATCTTGTATGAAAATAAAGCACAGTGGTCACACTATTTTACACTCACCATCCAACTCATTATCCTTTACTTTACCTAATCTTCTACATGTTCCTGATCTTTCAAAAATTCTTCTAAGTGTCTCGCAGTTTGCTAAAGATCACAATGTATTTTTTGAATTTCATCCTAATCATTGTGTTGTTAAATCTCAGGCAAGCAAGGAGATCCTTCTTCAAGGAACACTTAAGAATGGTCTCTATGCATTTGAGGGTGTCAAAATCCCAACTCATACTGCCTTTACTGCTGTTTCTGTTCAAAATAAAAATGTATCCCACTCCACAGTGGTTGATTCTGTCACTTGCAAAATAGATAGCAAGTTGTCCTTATGGCATGCACGTTTAGGTCATGCTTCATTCAGCACTGTAAAAAGTGTATTGAATCATTGTAATATTTCATTCCAAAATAATAAAACTCCTTTTACCTGCTGTGCTTGTTGTATGGGTAAAATGCATCAATTGCCCTTTCCAGCTTCAACTCATGTTTATACAAAACCTCTGGAATTAATATTTTCTGATATATGGGGTCCTGCTCCCATTACTAGCACCACTGGCTCTAGATATTACATTGTCTTTGTTGATGCTTTCAGTAAATTTACTTGGTTATATCCTATATCTACAAAGAGTCAAGCTCTTCCTGTTTTTGTTGCATTCAAAACTATAGCTGAATTGCAATTCAACACTAAAGTCAAATCTATCCAAACCGATAATGCAAAAGAATATCTAGCCTTTGATAACTACCTCCAACAAAATGGCATAGTTCATAGACTCACGTGTCCATACACTCATCAACAAAATGGTACCCCTGAGAGAAAACACAGGCACATAGTTGAAACTGGCCTATCTCTCCTTGCTGCTTCCTCTCTCCCTCAACAATATTGGGAAGATGCATTTCTCACAACAACCTATATCATCAATAGGCTTCCTACACCTACATTGCACAATACCTCTCCTTATGCCATACTGCTTCAAAAGGAACCTGATTACACACTTCTGAGAACCTTTGGTTGTGCTTGTTACCCTCACCTAAGGCCCTACAATAAACACAAACTTGATTTTCGCTCAATCCAATGCACATTCCTTGGCTACAGTCCCAACCATAAGGGTTACAAATGCCTCTCACCTGAAGGTAAAATATTTGTTGCAAGAAATGTTGTTTTTGATGAATTTATGTTTCCCTTTACCCAAACAGTCACCAAAAATACTGTGTCTTCTTCTTCTGAACCATCACATGTACCTATAATTCCTAAAGTAACTATCTCACCTTCCTCTCAACTCACATCCATACCCACTACATGTGCTGAGGTCACTACAGATTCTGTTTTTCCTATTTCTAACAGTTCTTGCAGGTTATCTATTGGTGAGACATCAGAGTCTCTTTTACCTGCTACAACACCTACCTCTCAACCTACAATAATCATCATATGCTCACTAGAGCCAAGACTGGTGTCTTTAAACCCAAGGCCTTCACTGCTTCTGTTGAACCTACCTCAGTTGCAAAGGCTATGACTCAACCTCAATGGCTGCAGGCCATGAAAGATGAATATGAAGCACTTCAAAGAAATAATACCTGGCAGCTTGTACCTCTGCCATCAGACTGCACCCCCATTGGATGTAAATGGGTGTTCAGGACCAAATACAATCCAGATGGGTCTATCTCCAAGCATAAAGCTCGCCTAGTAGCTAAAGGTTTTCATCAAAGAGAAGGTCTAGACTATGCAGAAACCTTCAGCCCTGTGGTTAAACCTGCTACTGTCAGAATTATCCTCACAATAGCTCTCTCTCGGCAGTGGCCAATTCACCAATTGGATGTGAATAATGCTTTCTTAAATGGAGACCTTCATGAGACTGTTTATATGCAGCAGCCTCCAGGCTTTACTACAGGTGATAAAACAACTATTTGCCGCCTCACCAAGGCACTTTATGGTCTCAAACAAGCCCCTCGTGCTTGGTTTGAGAAACTCAGTTTCACTTTGGGTCACCTAGGATTTGCCTCTACAAAGTGTGACTCATCACTCTTCATCAAAATCACATCCACAGCAACCATCTATGTTTTGGTCTATGTAGATGACATCCTCATCACTGGCTCCTCACCTACTGCCATTACATCACTCATTACTAATCTCAACTCAGCCTTTGCTCTCAAGGATTTAGGCCAGCTTCACTATTTTCTTGGTATTGAAGCACAAAAAGACTCCTCAGGTACACTGCATCTCAGTCAAGCAAAGTATATTGCTGACTTACTCAAAAAGGCAAACATGAATGATTGCAAACCAATGCCAACTCCTATGTCTTCAAGTATAAAACTATCTTCTAGAGATGGCACTGCCTTTCATGATCCCTCTCTCTATCGGTCCATAGTTGGAGCCTTACAATATGCTACAGTAACTAGACCTGACATATCCTTCTCTGTCAACAAGGTATGTCAGTTCATGCATGCTCCTCTTGACACTCATTGGAAGGCAGTTAAACGAATTTTACGGTATCTACATGGCACAAGTTCTCTAGGACTTACCATTTCTCCTTCTCCTCACTTTCACATCTCAGCCTATTGTGACAGTGACTGGGGATCTGATATTGATGACCGTAGGTCCACATCTGGTTACTGTATCTTTCTTGGTAACAATTTAATTAATTGGTCCTGCAAAAAGCAAGCTGTGGTAAGTCGCTCAAGTACTGAGGCTGAGTATAGATGTCTTGCAGCCACCATTGCTGAACTTGCTTGGCTCAAATCTTTATTGTCTGAGTTGCTTATCTCCACTCCAGGCACACCTACAGTTTATTGTGATAACCTTAGTGCAGTGCAACTGGCAGCAAATCCCCTTTTTCATTCCAGAACAAAGCATTTTGAACTGGATCTCTATTTTGTTCGCGAAAAGGTTATGGCAAAACACCTCACTGTTCATCATATACCTTCAGTGGATCAGATAGCAGATGGCTTCACCAAGGCTGTCTCCAGGCCTAATTTTCTCAATTTTTGTTCCAAGCTCAAGCTTTCCACCTCTTCCAGCCTTGAGCTTGCGGGGGGATGATAACATATAGTAATTGTTAAGTTAGTTTTCAATTCTGTTCAGTTTGTTTTGAGTCTGTAACTGAATTAGTTAGCCTAGTTTAGTTTCCTTTCTGATATGCTATAAATAGACTTTTGTATAGTCTTTATAATTCAATATATTCATTCTATCAATTTCTCTCACATTGAGAGATCTCACAGATATTTTCTCTCTCTCTTGAATCTTTCCTGTGCTTGAGATCCTATGCCAAATACCTTTAAGCGAGAATACAATAACAACGAAAAAAATGAAGAAATTTTTTATAAAACTTTTAAAAATAAATTTTGAATAAATCAAAATGATAAAAAATAGTTAGCAACAATTATGGTTTCCTAATCTATTTAGGACATAATTCTAGTAGCCAAAGTGAGTTCATTTCTTTCGTGCCCGCAAAATGCTGTATGGGAGTGCATCTTTATAAATATTTGTGCAGAGTATTAAAGTTTATTGTTTCAATAAACTCCACGTTCATCGTTAATCGGTTGAGTTTTGTCGGATGCATTATAGGAAATAAGGGTGTGCACGACTCTCCCAAAAAATCATTTTCTTCATTCCATGGTTAAACATATTGACTTTATTAACTACTCTTCATGCCTCCTCTCTCTTAGTACACATATTAACCAGAATTTTTCTTTAAATGCTCTAAAAAAAAATTCCTCCTTTCTGGGAGGGAAATACAAAATCAAGTCAATTGTTTAAACGACAGAGACTAAGTTAATAACATTTTTCTATATTAAAAAATAAAGAAGAAAAGAGAAGCAAATTACTACTGTATTGTTTGACAAGACCAAACAGTCCAGCACATGATACAGAACATCCCCCCCACCCTTCTTTTTTCTCCCTTCCCTTCCCTCCTTTCTCTCTTGAAGAATTTCCATGAATATCGTATATAATTATCAACCAACAAAGAAGGTAGGAAACTTTTTTTCAGTTGCCAAACTCCCCCTTCTAAGCAGATTCTTGCTAAAATGTTCTTCAAACATCATTTAAATACCTATCCGAAACTTTCAATCGTTGCTAGTTCGTGCAGTTGAATCCATGGCAAACAGAAAGCCAGATAACCAGGACCAAAAACAACAAAATTCCAAGAACAACCAATTTAATTTTCATGTTCTGATACCACATTTTCCGACGAATTTGTGTTCCTTTATTTCTGAACTCCTGAGCCTGAAAATTTGGAGATCCTTCAGCCCCAGAAAGCATAAGATTCCAAATGATAGTTGTTAAACATTTGGTCAACTTACCTGTGAGTGCAATGTCTCTGTCTTATCCGCAAGAATAGTTATATTTTCTCCTCGATCAATAGCCTGAAAGCACGTATAGCAAAAACAAAGATGACAAGGTATTACACTATCTAGTCTAACATCGCAATCAATGCATCCTCAGGCAACCTAGCAGAGTGATAGTAATACAAACAGGATAATGCAAGGGAAAATGTTTACAGTAATACAGAGCTCAACATGCTATAATTTAGTCACTGAAAATTTTGAGGTAAAATGTCAATTTAAGTAGAGGTAGGATATTCATACTACCCATTATTTCCACTACCAATCCACTACAACTCTAATCATCGTTGGATCTCACTTTTCAGCCGACAATCTCTGAAAAGTTTCTAAAAAGAGAGAAGAAAAACAGTTTTTAATGTACTCCCCGGAATACATAATTATATTAGAGTGGTAGTGGATTGATAGTAGAAATAATTGGTAGTATGAATATCCTATCTCTTTAAAGTATAAAGGCATATTGCTTGTCCAAGTATTTACATTATGTTATAAAAGTAGAAATTGTCCAAGTAGAAATTTCCTAATAGAAGTATAACCAGGCAGCCAGAATCATGGTGATTTTTCCCGAATCATTCCCCCAAAATGCAGACAGATGACTAACATAGCAACCCTCCCCAAACCATATTTTCCCCCTCCGCTGATCCTTTATTTCAATATGAAGGGCAAGTAATTCATAATGGATTGTAGTTTAGAGAGTTAGACCAGGATGCATATGTTGGATTTTGTGAATAAGAAGTGGGTTGAGGAAGAAGAGAAAAAGGGAAGGTAAAAAGGGTGTGTGGGTAAAAGTCCCACATTGGACAAGACGTAAGAAGTGGAAGGGTTTATAAACCTCCACCTCACCTCTCTAGTTTGCCCCTTGGGGCACACCACTTTTGTCGAGGAGAGAGGACGCAGATGGGCCTTGGTCCACCACACGCGCTGCCGTCGTCAGGCCGTTTCAGATCAATCGCGCGTGTGTAAATTATTTTTTGTCCAAAATTCCCCTGTCCTATCCGTTGCTCCCCGCCAATTTTGGTTCCTTCCTGCCGTTTCGAACCGAGACGGTGCGTTCAGTTATTTTAATTGGTTTGCTGCCGTTGGGAGTAACGATTCACCGGCGGCGATTCATATAGCCCGTCAAAAAAAAAAACTAATCCGGACTTTTCTAAGTCACTTGCATGCATCCATACTCATAGTACATACTGCCTTAGACTTAGAAAATGTGTCCAATCGGTGTCTATATATACATATAGCCCGTCAGAAAAAAAAAAAAAAACCAACCAGAACTTTTACTCATAGTACATACTGCCTTAGACTTAGAAAATGCGATTCTATCTGACATTTGGTTGTGTTCATAGGGCTCCTGATTGATAATGCCATCATTCTTGAGATGCAAATGCATTCTATCTTAAGAGACAATTGTTCATCAACTTTCGGCATCAATAGAGGAAACAAATTGTCTTAAGGAGACAACAAAGTTGGGCATCAATAGAAGGAACAAATTGTCTTAAGGAGACAACAAAGTTGTTCATCAACCTGTGAGTTTTATCATACTTCTTTATTGTGCTGTGCTTGTAGGATTAATTAATATATCTGGTATCATACACAAATTCAAATCTCTCGGTGACTTTATATTTCACACAATGCCTTTTAAACAAGAGCATAGAGACAATTGAGCAGGGAAATGGCTGAATATTAAAAAATTCCATGTCTTACTCCAAAACATTAACATACCTTGTCAATGTTCTCTAACATGATACTTTTAACTTCGGAAACTTGAGCCTTAACTTTTATTAGCTTTTCAATCTCTTCAGCATGGTCGATGATATACTTCATGTGCTCTTTCATAACTGATCTGCAAATGTGCAGCCTTATTATTTACCTTTTTTATACAAGTTTCTCTATCCAAACATTGAATTGTCAGTAAACATCATTAAGGGCCTGGAATTATGGAAAGAAGTAAGTATACCCGAACTCCTTGTTGAGACTTTTAGCAACGGCTGTATCTGCTTTTCCACCACCATATCTTTTCTTAAAGTCTGCTTTAACACGTTCTAAGAAAGCAATAGAGATCTGCTTGCTAACAGATTCCTTGGCAACAACACAGTAAGCTGCAATTTACAGAAAGCCCAGATGTAAAGCATTAAGATGATAAAATCCTCATTATAATTGACTCAATGTTTCAGTAAATGCTGGTGCCCAAGACATGCAGCGAGCCCATTGGCCATGCGTTTCTATTGCAGCTTCACAGCTACAAGATAAGGCATAAGCCCTTGCTTGAATACTGCTTGTTGCATGACTATCTTCTAAATTATGGACAAAATGTTCGGGTGTCTCACGAAGATCCCTGATTACTATGTTCGAGGGCACATGCTTACATTGAAATGAGGGGGTAATAACTAACAAGAACACAAAAATTGAATGTCACCAAAAGCAGATACTTGTCTACCCGTATGACCCCTTCGAATGGTACATAGTCTACAGACATGTACCAGAAACAAAAGACTTGTTTTTTCATCAATAAACCTTATTTGGACCTGAAGAACCCAAATTCCGTTTCTCTCCACTCATTATCATTGAAATGAAAAATTAATTTTTTTTTTTTTTTTGCAAGGAACCCATAAAAGCAAACAAAATATAACATGGAAAACGAATTCAAAAGGGAAATAAAACCCAAAAAAATGAAATCTTTGTGCCAATTTGATGTCACGTCCATTTCAAGACTAGATCCGGCACTTAAACAATGAATTGAACTTCAATCTGGTTCAGGTTTCAGGAGAAGGCTTAAGTTGTCATGAGAATGCAGAAAAGACAAGATCAGAGGAGAATGACAATACCGTAACCATCTTCGACTAGAAAATTGAAGGTGTGATGGTCACAATTGTAGGTGAACTTGTTGTTGGAAGAAGGTAGTTTCTGGAGACACTGAGCTGCAATCGCAGGGAAGTTCCCAGTGAACTCGGTGTACTCAGCTAACACCATCGTCCCCCGAGCCACGAAGCTATATATAAACGATTCCTGACTCATTGCTCTGCAACTCCGAACTCAGAGAGAGAGAGAGAGCTATGCCTAGTTGTTCTACTACTTGAGAAATTTCAAGGACCCGTTTGGTTTTTTCTTCTTTATTTTTCTTTGTTACGAGGAAACAAATAACATCCCTTTTTTATAGTTTATTAATTTATTAATAGGTCTAATATTTCTTATGTTAGATAATTTTATCTTCTATATATATAGACATTTATGGGGCCCATATGAAATTATACGAAGAGAAGAAGAAAAAAATATATACTCTATATACTTTTATATACATATAAGAGATAAAGTTATCTCTTATAATATAAGAAAGTATAATCCTTTCGTTAATGAGAAACCAAACAAAACGGCGTTTTTCCATCTGAAGATATAATGTAATAATAATATATTGATAAATTGTGTTATGTCCGTTTTCTTTATTATTTTTGAGCTGAAATGATTGACGGGGTTTGACAGTGTTTGAAAAGAAATCTATCCAGAATCAACGTTCAACGCGAGTACAGGGATTTTGATTTTCTTTCGGCGGTGTTTTAATTAATTATGAATTATATTACACGACAAGATTTTTATTTGTTAAGTAAACAGATCTAATTATAATCTGATTATAATATTAATAACTTGGGTACGCATGGATTTGTGATGATTAAAGCTTTATAAAAATGAATGATTAAAGTAAAAGTAGCGGGAACCGTGGGAGGGTTTTGTGTCTGCTTTATTACCTTTTCCCTGCTTTCCTTGATTGGATTTGTTCCTTTCTTATGCAATCCACCTTATACTATCACTTGTATACATGCTTTAATGATATTATACATCTTTCTTTCTTGAGTATTATTTCTTATTGATCCATTGGTTTAAACTTTACTTGAGTTGATTTTGAAAAAATGATCTTGAAAATTTTGATTTAAAAAAAATTAAAGTTAGTTATAAAAATTTAATACATTTTACTTAATAAATGGACTTTTGAAAAATATTTTTAATATTTTTTTTTTCAAAAACCAAATTATTTTTTTATACTTGGATGTAAAATCTGAAAAAATGCTTTTAAGTAAAAAAGCGATTTACAGGTTAAAATAAAAAATACCTTTTATGTATAAAATCACTGAAAATTATATGTATAAGTAAAAATATATGTTTTTGGATTTTGAATTCGGGGCAAAATAAGAATTTTGGAGGCAGTGAATTTCCTTCGGGCTTGCTTTATTCAAAAGTCAGGTATATTAACTTAAAAAGAATATGATTTCAACTTTTTTAAATTTTATTTTTTAAAAAACTGCATTCAAATGCTCAGATAAAATAAAAAAAACACTTTTATTTAAAAAGAATTACTTCTTGAAAAAAAAATCTATCGAATTGGATTTGAAAATAATACGTGAAAAGTTAAATTAAATTTTTTTATTTGAATGATGTAAATTAAGATTATTTTGAAATATAAAATTATTAGAAAAAAAAGTCACGTATTCTTTCTCGTACTCACTTATGTTAACTTTTCTGGAATAGTATTATAAAATTGCATAATGTACTACGTAAAAATGGTTTCGTTGGAAGCAGAAGTTAAAATTCTTTCCTGTCGTGAGAACTGGTTTTAGCATACACAATTTTGCTTTATTAAATGCAATTCGTAGCCAAATGTTTTCAATTCTCACTTCAAAGATCTAAAAATTATAAAACAGACAAAGGAATCGAATGACTAAATTGAAAAAGAGTTTGTTTTAATGTTTAAATTACTAATCAAGAGTGCAGTTATATTTTTATTTATTTTTGCTATACCAACCTTAATTATTTTTTTGAATTGAGTCGGCCCCAAATATTTTAACAAGTTTTAATTTTTTGAATCGACTGTAAGACTAATCTCGAATCGAAGCTTAGTCACATTAAACTTTTTACCCTTTGCCAAAGATATATTTGGTGGAAATCGGAAAAAAAAAATTACAGGAGTTTTTCGAATGTGTAACTCTCAAAAAGTTAAGTGGAATAAAAAAAATACCTGATTTGGACACCCGAGTCAAAATTTATAACTTTCCGAAGTTTCACTCTAAAATTCCCAAAATTATATAATGCCAACAGGTTTTGAGATCCCACAAAGCTCCTCCTCAGGTAATTCCTTTTTTATTCCATATAACTTTTCAAGATTTACGGAATGATATCTCATTTAACATATTTTACCTCTCACAAACACAATTCGAATTTGCAACAATAGTATTACAAGAGCATTTAAACTCAGAACCCTTTGAGTCTTTTCCGAACCAACACCAAACACAGTCTTCATTTTAAAAATCTTAAGATTATAAAAAATAGTACAAAAAGCAAACATCTAACTTTGTTTCATAGGTAGTGCATGACGAATGACCTGGTTCTAATCTTGCAAGCTCCACCATATCCATTGAAGAGAGATAGGATCTCATAGACTTAGTGTGAGAGAGAGTGTGTTCTTTGTCATTATTGAGAACAACAATTGAAGTGGAAGAGAGCGAGAGGAGGATGTAATTTTTTTTAAAAATGATAATATAATATAATGTGGTCTCGTTCTGATGTCCCTTTTTAAAACAAAAAATAATAGGTGATTTTTTTTTTATTCCACATAATTTTTCGATATCTATGCACTGAAAAATTTTCGGATAATTATTTGTTAATGTTGGGAAGTAAAAAATTAAATAAAATCATTCACAAAGATAAAATATGCCAAAAAGGACATCCAATTACAAGCTTTTTATCGGGCTCTTAGATTATTCTGGTGACTTTATGCTATAAAACATGCTTTGATAAGAAGGTTTCAGGTGCTATATATGTTTGCAATAATGCATTCTTCAGATTCTATAAAATAGTATAAGTCACCTCAAATCCTCTTATCAAAGTATGTTTCACAGCATAAGAACATATTTTTAATTCAATACATCAAAAGTTTTGTATTTTGTAATGCAACTTAAAGAACGTTGTATTCTCACCAATCTCTCTCACACTTTTATGTTGTGGAACTTTCTTTTCTCACAAATGCATTTTTTTTCAAACACTGGGTATAAAGTATATATTTTAATATGAAATTAAGTATCCTTATTTATAGATGGACTAATCCACTTTGGTGCCATCTTTAATTTTAGACCAAGACTTAAAAGATGAAGTCTTAATTCACAGTGATAAGAATACAACATATATGATAAGGACAAGGAGTTTCTAGCAGGCAGAATATTGTTTTTGGTGTTGATTCGAAAAGAACTCATAGGCTTTTGGGTTTAAATGCTCTTATGTTACTATTGTTGCAAATTCAAACTGTGTTTGTGAGCGATAAAATATGTCAAATGATGTGTCATTGCGTAAATTTCAAAAAGTTATGTGGAATCAAAAAAAACTTACCTGATTTGAATTTCCGAGTCAAAAGTTATGATTTCTTAAAGTTTTACGATTAAACTGTTAACTTTTTGTGCCACATGTCTATACCAGACGAGTCACGTCTAAATTAGACGTTAATGCCTCATGGGTAGGGGTGTTAAACGAAGCAGGAGCCTCTGACTCGACTCGTGAAGGCCTGAGCTTACATGTCTAAAATTGGTTGTTGGCACCAAGCTTGAACTTGTATAAAAACTTGTTTAATATAAATGACTCAGGCTCTAATTCAAAAGTTTGGCCTTAGAGCTTGTCAGGCTGGCCTAGTATATTATTATTATTATTTTTTATATTTTTATACTACTTGTAATAACCCCTCTCTTTCTCCTCAATCCGTTTCACCCCATTTTATTGGTTAAACAGATTTTTTGAATGATTTTGTTCTATATTATACTGTTTGGATATACATTGAATTTATGAATATTTATGGAATTACTAGTGTTGTTGATTGTATATTCTGTTTGGATAAATTTTTGTTTTCTTACTTTTTTTAAACAAGCTAAACCAGACTTTTATTTTTTGTAAATAAGACAGGCCAAGCCGATAATTATATTTATAACAGGTAACAGGTTTGGTCAGAGACGGACACATCTAAACACAAGCTTAATCTTTTAAGACTAAAACTAAGCTCGACTCGGCCCGTTAACACCCCTACTCGTGGGTCATGCTTAACTTAGACTTGAATGATCACGTCCAATTTGAACGTGAATAAATGCTATAAATCTGGAAATAATTTCAAAACAGTTATATATTTGTAATTATTTATTAAAATAGTAATATTTTTTGTTTTTTTACCGGCTAAGGACATAAAATTATTTACTTTTATATAATGATAAAAAAAAGTAAATAAATTTTTTTAGGTATTTACGAAATCAGTTTTTTTTTCTTTATTTTCTCACTCTTTTTTATTTTAATGTTTATTTCGGATGATATTTTATTGTGGAACTAGTATACAGGAACTTTCCAAGGATGAGATCCCATTATGTGGAAGATTTTTTATTATTATTTATTTGAGGTATCACTTTTCCTTACGGTTATCCCTCCGTTTCTTATTTATTAATGATAATCTCTTCGTTGACTACAAAGTTGGTGAGGAATTGATGAGAGCTGACGATCCACTGCTCCCCGTATGCACGCGAGCACTTCCGCAGAAGCCAATGAAATATATTTCCCCCAAAAAGCAGCCTATCAAGTTTTGATAGCAAAAGCGAACGGGCACAGGGGATGATAGCTTCTGGTGCAATAAAATAATGGTAGAAAGAACCGCACAATTGATGGTGCCAAGTAAAAACAAGTAGACAACGGTGGAGAGAATTCGCATTCAAACGACGCCGTATTAGGTGTCAGCCCCGTTTTTCCCTACACCGTTAATCCTGGGTAGTCAAACTCAAACATACTGCTCCTGTGTCAAAATATTACTCATCTTTCTCTTTATATCTCTTTCCATATTCACAACCAAAAACATTGACAAAAATCACACAAACTCATTTTCTGGTAACAAACAAAGAAAGAAACTAACCCACTTGTTATAAAACCGACCCCTTGTTTTATTTTTATTTTTTTTCCCTCTCTAAAAAAGGACACCAAAAAGAATCTTCAAACGCCATTAAAACAACATCCACCCACTCACATAGTCACATGTATGAATCCATGGCATCATCGTGCTGCTCATACACGTTCATGACTCTCATGTTCTTGTTATTGTTCTTTAATTTGGGCGTGTCCGAAAGAAGTAAAGAATTCGAAGGAGGAAAAGATTGCGAGAAGCGATGGATCCACATAAGGAAGCTCCCTGCAAGGTTCAACCTGGATCTGCTCGGCAATTGCTCTGAATACCCATTCTTGGATGACTTGTGTCCCTTCTTAGCGAACCATGGCCTTGGCCAGAAGACCCACAACCGTTCTCACAGTTGGTACAGAACCGACCCATCAATGCTCGAACTCATTTTCCACCGCAGAATGTTGGAATACCCGTGCTTAACGGAAGATCCAACCTCCGCTGACGCCGTCTACCTCCCGTACTACGCTGGCCTCGACGCCCTCCGTTATCTCTACGGTCCCGAATATAACTCCAGCGCCGAACACGGCCTTCAACTCTTCGATTTCCTTCAAGAGGATGAACCCGAAATCTGGAACCGCCACATGGGTCACGACCATTTCTTGGTCATGGCTCGTCCCGCTTGGGATTTCTCTCAGCCTCTTCATAACGACCCACCGCTTTGGGGCACTTCGTTTCTCGAGTTACCTCATTTCTTCAACGTCACCGCTTTGACACTGGAGGCGCGTGCCTGGCCTTGGCAGGAACACGCGGTGCCTTATCCTACTTCATTTCACGCTCCAAATCTTGGACTCTTGGAGTCTTGGGTCCAGCGCGTGCGGCGTTCCAAGAGGTCTTCTCTGGCGTTGTTCGCCGGCGGTGGAGGTGTCTCCGCCACTCCCAATATCCGACGGAGCATTAGGAGTGAGTGCGAGAACGCCACTGGGAGTTCGACCGGTTATGATAAGTTGTGTGAGGTGGTTGATTGCTCCAATGGGGTTTGTGAGCATGATCCTATTAGGTTCATGAAGCCAATGTTGCAATCGAGTTTCTGCTTGCAGCCTCCGGGGGATACTCCGACTCGTAGGTCAACATTTGATGGGATTCTTGCTGGTTGTATACCTGTTTTCTTTGAAGAACTATCGGCAAAATCTCAGTATGCGTGGCATTTGCCGGAGACAGAGTTTGAGGCTTTCTCTGTCATTATACCCAAGGAGGACGTGGTGTTCAGAGGGTTGAGGATTTTGGATGTGTTGCGACGAATACCTAGATCCAGGGTTAGGAGAATGAGGGAAAAAATCTTGGAGTTAATACCGAGAGTCATGTATAGAAGGCATGATAGTTCCCCGGGTCTCAGAACAAAGAAGGATGCATTTGATATATCAATTGATGGTACACTGGACAAGATTCTATCAAGGCTTCAGCAACTTGATTTGGTTCTGTAATTATTATTATTTTTTGTTACATTAGTTTCTCTCTTTACTTAGTTATATGCTCCTTATGTTATGTGGCTTAAAAATTAAGCTAGAGCATTTTACTTTTTTTATTGTAGAATACTATCTTTTATTTCTTTCTGATTTTCTGCCTTTGTATGTGTTGGCTGCTTGCCGCTGTAAACAGTCCAAAGGTGGCAACATGACTTTTCTCTGTGTTTTTAGTATAATGGCAACCAAAATTAATGCCTACTCCTTTACTGGTTATGACAACTTATGATGATTCTCATCATATTTCGCATATTAGGTACTTTGTAGGAGTTTAACTTGCAGTTCCCTTCTGTGAATTATATCTATGGTCTCTGTGCATTTATTTTATTTGGGAAAAATATCTGTGCTTTATCTGTTGATTGACCAATTGATATTCTTGGTTCAATTTGTCACTCCAACACCACGTGTTTCTTCTTGGAAGAATGCCAAGATACGCATAAAGCATCTGGCTGTCTCTGCAATTTTCTGTCTATCAAGTTCAAAACAGGGTAACGTTAGACTAATGATATACCTTGATCCTTGTCTAGATCTATGATATTGCACGGAATAGGCGTTTCTTCCCCCTTGTCAACTAACTTAGCTTATCTGGATGAACCCACAAGGCTTTCATTTTGATTATTTGCACTTGGTATATCGTGTGGTGATTCTCAGGAATGGAATTATTAGTCCAGTTCATCGTATTCTTTAAATTCTGAACAGAAATTTAACCTAGAAGAAAGTTGAAAGGAGGATTAAGGCGTGCTCTTGGTGTTCCATGTTATCTATCACTATTGTGTTTTGGAAGTTGAACGTTAGCCTTCAGAATTAGTGAACTCAAATTCAGCGTTGGGAGTTGGGACTAAGGCACAACACATTCTTCTGATGGTGATGGGAACATACTTTCTGAGTTATTATCTCTGAGCCAGGCACTTGTATAGAATTAATTGTATTATTTTCCCTCAACAAAAACTTTTTACAACTGAAACATTTGCTCTAGTCTTCTGAATATTGACCTGCTGCATTGTTTCTTCTGTGATGAAATATAATCTCAAGGATCTTAAGTGCTGATTGCTTATGCATAACTTTTCCTCTGTTCAACTCTTAAGTCTCTCAGTTTTTATATGCAATGTGGCAGGGTTGCATTTTTTATTTTTCAATATGACGGGATGTAAATGGGCCAGGTGGCTTAACAGGGGCCTACGACCCCCTACGACCCATTCAACAACATATCAGACTCAGCTTATTACATATAGTTCAATAAAACAAGCTTATATTTTTAAAAATATATACAGAAACAGGTCATAGACTTTTTTTACATGCCGGGCCTATAGGCTGGTCTATATTATATTATTTATTTTAAATAAAATAAATAAAATTTATTTTAATAATTTTGAATAATAAAGTAATATTATTTTAATTATTGAATACTTAATAAGTCATAAACAGGCTAACAAATCTAGGTCAAGATTTTTGTTTTATAAATATAAGTCAAATCAGATTTATAATTTGAGTCTACACAGGCTAACAGACCAGACCAGACCTAAAGTTTTTTATACAGACTTGACCTATTTAAGTCAAAGCCTCAATTAACCCAGCCCATTTACACCCTTAAATTAAGATATCCCTAAAGATTAATCCCCCTCAAGGCGCTGAGATCACTTAAGTGGATTTTGTCTCTCTCAACAAAGCATTTTTCATATAGGAATCGAATCTTTGTTAGCATTGTCCAATATTTACCAACTGTTGTTACAGACTTTGTTTGTGGCAAGGTTGCATTGGAACAATAAAATTACGTAAATTAGCTATCATCTTTTGTCCTTTTCTTTTGGGCCACAATTCGTAAACTTGATTTTGTGCTCGTGTTCTGGGGTATTTTCACTCAACAGACCTTCTGGTTCTGTTTGAAGATTTTGGCCCAGAACGAAATAAAGAAATCACAATGCATGATTATTTGAATGTTTTCTTTTCTTTTGTTTACTTGTTTATTTATTTTTATTTTTTTCTTATGAGGGGAGAGATTTTAATATTTATGCTAGAGTATCGGCATAAACATTTTAGGGAGTGGATTGAAAAAATGATCATGTTATTTGATCACAACCACTTATTACGATGAGATAAGAGAGAGAAAAATGTATAATTTTTAAATGAGTGGTTGTGATCAAATAACATGGCCACATGACCACTTTTTCACATGAGAGGATCCACTCCCAACATTTTAATTGATTATAATAGCTCTAAAATTGTCTTTTCATGATTTGACCTTTTCTCCCTCTGCACGCCTCCAGGTGCGGACCACAAAAACATTTGGTTGATATCAATTTACTATTGTCAGGTCTGAAAGGGCAATTAGAATCCTGGTTTAAGGATGTCTTACTGATATTTTCTTGAACAATTAAAAACATTAGGTTTAACGAATTTTTAATTTTGAAAAATTGGAATAAGATTGTTAAGATTTATCCTGGAATTGTTTCCAATCGTGACTTAATTTTTCCCAAAGAAAGAAAGCATATTACTTGAGATATATTCTCGACTATAGTTTATTACAATATTGTTATAATATGTTATTAGGATATAGGTAAGTAGGAAAGGGAATCAATCCTCTTACGAATAAATTTTACATGACATTGTCATGTCAAAAGTATGTGTTCATCCATCCTTATAATCCTTGCATTAGTGGGTTCAATCAATATATGTGAATATGTATGAAGAGGGAGATGGACACATAATTTACACATGATATATACTTTTCCAATATTCAATCTCCTTATTTTTCAGATCCTTCAACTTATCCTGCCATATTAATTTTCTGAAATATATGTACGTGGAAGCCTCTTATTTCTCTTGCATTTTCTAAGACCTTCGCTTTAAACATTAAGTCTAAACCTTCTTTGATATTGTTGTGATTTCAATCTTAAATCAATGGCTGATTTAAGCGTAAAGGGGCTAAGTAATAAGAAGCATAGATGTATGTTCCTGGAAGTTCTTCCAAACGAGTTATTGGTGGAGATTATTGCAAAGGTGGCCTCTAGTTCCATTGTTGACCTCTGCAGGGTGAAACTAACATGTAAACAATTTCTTCATGCTGCGGAGGATGATTATGTGTATCAGCATGTATCAATGGATAAGTTTCCGTTGGTGCCATTGGCATGGTTTACCAATGAGAAAATATTATCATTCTTTAAACGCTGCAGAGAGAGTAAAAACTTAGAGATTTTGTACCGTGATGGAATGGTACAATACTTTAAATCTATGAGGGTAAAGTCAGGTCTGGAAAATTTGAAAAAGGCTGCATTGGGGGGTCAAGACGAAGCCAAATATGTTTATTGTATGCTTTTGATGATGTGCTGTGAAGATCAGCAAGAAAGAAAACATGGATTTGATCTTTTTTATTCCTTGAAAACATTCAATTGTGTTAGTAGATGCAGAGAGAGGGTGAAATCTTTTATCAAAAGCATGTGGGGGATCAATAATCTTATAGTTCGAAATCACAAATTATCTTTATGTCATTCCAACACATGTTGTAACAGCGTGAGGCTGCAGAAACTTTCAAGGAGATGGTCATGGTTGGTTGAAGATGAAGATGGAGATGGTGATAATGGTATTTCATGTCAATATTGCGATGGGAATTATGAACTGAGTTTATTCTGTAAGATGTTTAAAGTATAGTTGCATTTCCATGCATGTAGAGAGAAGAACACAGCCCAGCCCAGCATGAAAATTGGAGCACAAATTTTTAATTGTTGATTATATATTCTGACATATAGATAGATAGATTTAACATCCCGAAGTTCCGAAGCTAGGCTGCAAACGCATGGAAGTTGGGTAGCCCCATAATTTCTCATATCACAAATTCACATCAAAATTTCGAATGCTACAAAGGAGGCACCGAAAAATGACAAAGTCCAAAGACACCATTTTACATTCTGTATTATTAGTGGATGTCGTGTTAGTTATCTGCCTAGTGAGTTTAATTTAACTAATTAAAAGCATTTCCATATTACTTATCGTTCTCTAGTATGTCCTTTTTATTCTGATCAAGCAAGGTTGTGCATTTTAAATTCTAATCTTCTTGCATGATGTTATACAAATAATTAAGCTAGAGTAAATCAAGTTGTGATAACCTCTGCCTTTGATCCGCATATTTGATTAATCAATTATTAGTAAAATCTAGTGTATTGTGAGTAATCTAAAATTCTAATAAAATCTAAAAGTATAAATTAATAAAAAAAAATGAGTTAAGAATGATAAATGTCATTCTTAAAAAAAATAGACTAAAAAATTAATTCAATTTTTTATTAAATATAATTTAATTTAAGTAAAAATTTTAAATATATAAATTAGAAACAACTAGAAGAAATATTTAAAATTAAGGAGAGATTATATTTACAATATTTTTTTATCTTACAATCTTTTACAACTGTTTTTGTTACCATTGGATCAAAACTAAATTAACAATTACAAAATAATACCAAATGAGATCCGTTTATTTGATTTTAATTCAACGACAACAAAAATAATTATAAGAGTTTATAAATATAATCTCCTTCTTAATCTTATAATTAGAGAAATATACATAGTTAATAATTAATTTTGATAGAATCTTTAAAACTAATTATAAGAGAAATATAAATAACTAAAAATAACTTGAAGAAATATTTAAAATTATAAAAAATATGCACAATTAGTTAAAAAAAATTAAATTTAAAATTTAAAATTTAAAAGGAAAAAAAAGTCAAGAATAAACTTTTCTAAAAAAGAATAGGTTAAGAAATTATATTATGGTACATTATATTATGAAGTGTAACTCCTTTTTTTCATTTATATTTAAAGTTTTATATAAGTACTTATTTTTTTATTAAAAAATAATAAGTAAATTCATGAAAAATTAAAGTTTAAAATCTATATTTCAATCATCATCATCTCTTTCTTTATATTTTTCTCTTTTATTTCATAATAGCTGGAGAGTAAAGAGTTTGTGTGATTATAAAATAATAGATACTGATGATAGATGGATTTTTTTTTTCCTTTGAGCTTAAAAAGGAATTGGATATTGTTGTTTGGCAATGTTGACAAGGCTGTCACTGTCAGCGCAAATATGTTGCCACGTCAAAATTGTTACCAAAATATTTTAAATTAAAAGTTTAACATTTAATATGGAATTAATGTTCAACCAGTCATGGACTCATGGCTCGTTGGCTTGTGAGTGACGTTTGTGCAGGGTTAGTTCCCAAGTCATTAATATACCTTGGGGTTGGGGAGCTACTGCTAATTTATCATTTTGCTAAGAGTCATGACTTGAAGTCTTTCATCATTTAATGATTTTCATATTAGAGTTTGCCATGTCAGTGGGTTGAGTAAATTTCATTTTTCAAGAACTGATACGAAAAAATTTAATATATTATCATCGTATCAATACTTCACCAATAAAAATATAATACATCAATTGACATATTTGCTAGAGAAAAAAAAAATCAATATTATAAGGATTTATCATCTATCATTTAACATGATTACAAAAAGTTTCTTACACACACATAACATTTTGTGGGGCCCGCAGCAAAAATAAAAAACTTTAGCACGCAAAACGAATTTCTATAACATAACACAATTACTTTTTCTATAATATAACTCTTATAAAACCCATATTATAATTATGTATTTCACAAAATATATAATTTATAATTTTGAACGGAAATTATACCCAACACTCACGATAATACAAAAATGTTTTGATATGGGTTTGCTTTGTCACGTTTGCGTGTGCATCTTAACTTTTGTGCAGCAAATGTTTTGATGACAAGTTTATTCAGTTTACTCAACACATTTCCATCCTAAGATTCTTAAAGCTTCCCGTATAACATGCTATGAAAAATCCAACATCTTATTCTAAAATTTTAAAATAATAAAATTATAAATATTTTTTTATGGTTGATGAACTTCTCATGTAGAATAAGAAGAAAAAAAATTTCTACTAACCTTTTTTTTAACATGTGGACTTCACGTATTTTTCTCTTTATATGGTATAAGAAAATACTTCTCTTATAACTGGAGAAGTATAAAACTCATTTTTTTAATTATATGTGTTTTGCTTAATTTATTTGTAATCAATACTAGACTACTCGCTCACGTTTATCCTATTTCCAAAGTAAATATGGTGCTGTTAATTAAAGTGGAATGTTGCTTTGTAATTTTTTTTTATACATAGACGAACGAAATTAAACACATAATTTAATATAAAATTCAGAAGCCGTTTATTATTATACCAAACTTAGTGCGTTTGAAATTTGTAATTTTCACCATCGTAAAAACTATGCAATCTTAGTCCTACTCGTAGCTGACCTATTTTCGAATAATGGTTGATTGCTAATATATGTAGGATTTTGTGGACCCATAAAATCCTGCAATCATTACCTCAATAATAGAAAAAAATTTCTAGAAAAAAATAAAGTTAAAAATATAGGAAAAATTATATTTACAAATTTTTTATTTATAAATTTTTATAAATTACAATATGTACTCGCAAAAGTATACTAAGTTACACCGTATATTATTGAAAATATATAGTGTAATTTGTAAAAATTTGTAATTTTTTTTTATAAACGGATGATTCACTATAAATATTTACAAAAACAGAAATATAATCACTTGAGTGATTTGTATTAATTAATTTAATCACGAAAGTGCAATGTTTCTGATTTGGCAAAAATTATAGTTCATAGTATCAGTTTGACAGAATTGTGCTTAAAGTATTACATAGAAATTTGGAGTCACTAAGAGAGGTTGAGCTTCAATGTAATTCGCCGGTGCAAATTACATGACATGCTGATGGAAAGCTTTTGATTACTGACCAGGCCTGGAGATGGAAGAACATGACTTTCTAACTATTTTATCCATGCCACGTTTACTTATGATTTAATTAACCTAAGGGACAACAAACACGTTTAAATGACACAATTAATGTTATTTTATTCGTGTGATCTATATTTTTATATTTTTTTGTCCACTCTTTCTTCTTTATTTATCTCTTTCTCTCACTTAAAATGACACAACTTTACATCCTTTAAAATGACACGCACTTTTTTCTTTAAGATAATATTTTAGAATAGAAAATTATTATACATAAAGTTTGGAAATAATACTTTAAAAATTAATTTATAAATAAAAGAAAGGATCTGGTTACAATTTTTTTTTACAAATTACACTAAGTATGACATATCATATACTCTTAATTAAAGTATGAACGATCATATTTAATGTAATTTGTAAGAATTTATATATAAAAAGTTTGTAAATATAATATTTTTCTATAAATAATTTTTTAAATTAACTTTGAAAATATTTGAAGCGCTCCTCTCGGTTTGGCCAGCAATTAATGGCATTGGGTTATGGTTCTGGGTGTCCAGGCGCTCAGTGCAACTTCTATAAGATTTTTTATTTTTTATATATTTATTATTTCATTAATTATTCGATTAATTTGATTCCAACACGGTTACATTATTTTTTATTTTTTTAATAAGCAACTTCTATAAGCTTTTACGGTTTATTTCAATCCTAATTTTTCCAACTCCAACCCTCGAAGGCATTTATAAATCATCACTCAATATATGCATAGTACATTTAATCCATCACCACAAGTGAATAAACTATGGATAACTCTCCAAAACGCATACCGATACATGGGGTATTTATACCGTTTCTTCTTCCTTACAATCCTAATAAGTTCTATGGAATAAAATCTTACCTGAAAAAGCAATCATAAACATGAGTTTCAACTCACCAAAACTTCCTTGTCATGTTCTATCCATTTATCATCAAATAATAGGACTCCAAAAAGAATTAAATCCATATCATGACCTTATTACGCCCTATGTAGCACCGATACCGACACGGGACACGTGACACGATACGACACGACACTTCGACACGTTAATTCTAAAAAATATTAGATTTCGACACGTTAGGACACATTTTGATATTAAATAATATTTTAAATTTATGTAGTGAATATTATATTTAATATTCAATAATTTAATAAAAAAAAAATCTAATCTTATAATATTCATAAATTTTGCAAAGAAACATTAGATATGCCAACTATTTATATTAAACTCAATAAAATGATAATCGTAATACAACAAATCTAATAGTTGGAACTAAAAACTCAACGCAACGCAACCTTTGAACCTTTTTTTGAATTTCTATAACGCGTGTTGGAGTGTCCGAGTGTCCGAGAGTGTCGGACACGACACGTCAAGATTTTTGAAGTGCTGTACTTCATAGCTTACGCCAACACATGATTCTCATTCCATATTCAGCATAATCAAACCTCAAATTTCAGTAGTAATTCAACCAACAAAAGAGGAATTTTAAAAGTTCAAAATAACCTTAAAAAAAAAAAGGATTCTTGGTAGAACTTGGAGTAGAAAGCTTGAAGCCTCTTCCTCTCCTTCTTCTTATTCCTTCCCTCTCTTCCATTCTTTCTCTTCTCTATTTTCTTCACCGAAAAATCTCTCGCACTTTTCCCTTCTTATCTTTTTTCTTTTCTTTTAATATTTTAATAATTATCATTAAATAAAAACTTACGTGGGATTAGACATGGATATTCCACTAGAATCAGTTTAGACCTCCTAACCTTTTTTGAGAATTCCCGAGAAAAATTACAGATCACCCACCAACTTAATGACATATAAATCTCACTCTTAACTTAATGAAGTCTACTAACTTTCCATTGATTAAACTAAATGTCCTTAATTAAGATACCAACAGGATAATTCTAGATACTATTCCTAATTGCATGCAAATCTAACGTAATATAAAATTCCCGTAAGTCCAGAGACCAAAACATAATATACAACCCTTTCGAATATGTTTCCATTCCTAAGTTACAGATTAACATTTGCCCGTGGCTTGGGATTACTACCAAATGGTGTAAAGGATACATTATCAAATCAAGTGGATTCAATGTTATATTTTAATTCAAAATCTTAAGACATTGGGTTCGTGGGTTCCCTCACTTATATACATTTGATTTAGTCCATTATCAACCAATGTGAGACTCATCACACTTGAATACTCAAACAATCTCCTCCTCAAGTGTGAAACTCAACATTAGTATACTCGCCCTTAATTAAATATCCAGATCTAAAGTACTTTATTTGCCTTCTAACCAAACACATGATTAGCTCAAGCTCAACTCGACTCTACTATAATTGTCAGATGGGTCCAGATAGAGCCCATGACGAGGACCAGTATCAATGGATTAAGCTACATAATCATAACAAGTAGGTTCGAAATCATATCATAATCCAAAACCTCAATAACTCTTGAGTATCCCAACAATTACAAATAACACCTTAAACAACATTCAAGGGGCTATGTTGAAGAACTTGTCGTCTACTTGTGGGAAGAAGTTTTCATATTGAATATTTCCACGTGTGAATAAAGGTGGACATAATTGGTTAAGGATTTGGCTCATATCCTTCAAAGGTGTGAGTTTAAACTCTTTTGGCTGATGTGAGTATTTAATTTGTTGATGAGTGATATATAATCTCTCTCAAAAATACTTAAAGAGATTGGATAGTCTTCTCTGACCCAATTGAGATATCGATGAATAATCCTATATAAATGTTTTTGTTTTAAAAAAAATAAAAATAAATAAAAAAGTATTCCCCGCCCCCTAGATTTTGCTGCGGACACTTCTCTTTGAAAGTAAATCCATAGACCACAGCAGACTAGTCCTTTCTTTACTCGAAAGTAAATTGACTGAAGCGGGTAAAATGAAGTGATTTTTGTCCAAACTGGAAGTATTTAAGAGACCCTTTTTGTTCTTCTGAATGGTGATGTAGCTTAGGGCATATATTCTTCACTTCGTCTTTCCCCACGCCTTTGGCGCTTTTACCTTGTCCTATATTATTTATAGGTTCTATTTAGTCTTAAGCTCCTCCTAGAGAAAAGAAAAAAAGAAGATATTTTCACAATTTCTTATCAAACAAAAAACATGCGTACTAATTTGAAATGTCAAACTCAAAACACATTTTACCAAAAAAGCTGTTATATTCGACTTTTCGGGGGAAAAAAGAGAGGATAATGGGATAGAAAAAAAGGAGGATTATTTAGTGGTCAAACTGAATCTGTAAAAGCCCATAAATTTTGTTTCCATGCGTTTGTTCATAAACTTTAAAATGAAGAACCAAAGTTACTGCTATCCATGATAAACCTTATATACGTGCCAATGAATTTAACAAAGTAAAAATAAAGAAAGCTACCAAGAAGAATAATAATTTGCTTCCTATAAACCTTTCACATGAAACAAAAGCTTAGTACATCAACAAGGGACAAAAAAACTAAGATAGGATACACAAAGAAAAGCATAATATAATTATTATATAAATTAAGGGTCCTATTTTCCGTAGCATCAGGCATTACCTGTTAAACACAATTGATGAGTAAATAAATAAGAATGTAAAAAAAGAAGAGTAGAATTATGTCCGGCGGCAAAAGTTGAAGGCAGGAGCAGCAGCACTGTTCTCTTCAGTCATTGTCACATTATACGTTGATAACCATCCAGTACATACCATACCACTGCTACATTCTTGGCATTTTCCCTTCTTTTTTATTTTATTTTTAAGCCCCATTCTTTCTTTCTTTTTTTGTTTCTCCTCTGATTTCAAGTTTCCAATTCCTTCACCTACTACCTTCTCAGAGAAGTCCCACAAACTCCACTTCCCTCTCTCTAATGGATGCAATGTCTGCTGAAGTTGCTTCACAACCATTGAAGTATCAGGTTACTATCTAATCTGCCTTAATTGCTTCTCTCAAGTTCAACACAAGAATCAGACCCTATTGTAAAATAACAGACAAAAAAAAGAAGAAAATCTCCCTTGAAATTTTTCTTTCATCTACTAAAGTTCATTTCTCCTTTGTTTCTCAGACGTGGCTCTTGAAAGTTTCTATCCACTGTGACGGTTGCAGGAGGAAAGTAAAGAAAGTTCTACAGAGCATTGATGGTACTAAGCATAAACAGAAAAATCTTACTTTTTTTTCTCTCTCTCTTGCATGAATAGATTACGAAGCTCAAATTTCACTGAGCAAAACCAAAATAACTCTCATTTTCCTTCTTTTTTTTTTAACCATATTCTGAGCCAGCAAGAAACAGTAGCACTGTGTTGGCATTCTGCTCTGCTCTGCACTATTTTTGTGTTCTTGTGGTGACAGAGAATTTCGGGTATTTCATATAACATTTTGCAGGTGTTTTTACTACAACAGTCGATGCACAACAGCATAAAGTAACAGTCACTGGAAGTGTTGGTGTTGAGATCCTGATAAGGAAACTGGTCAAAGCTGGAAAACATGCTGAGATTTGGCCGGAGAATCTCGCCGGGAAGGGAAAGACCTCATGCAAAGCGAAGAAGAATAACGAACAAAGAGACCCAGAAAGCAAGGAAAAACATTCTGCTACTAATGCCAAAAAAAACCTCATCTCTGGCAAAAGCAGGGGGATTGAAAGTGCTGACAAATATAATAATGAAAGCAATATCAGCAACTCAAAAACTGGCGGCAGCTCGCCGGAAAATTCTCCGCCAGGTGGTCTGGCTCCGGAACCTGACCGCAAGGGTGGTAAAAGTGAAGGAGGAACCGGAAAAAGTGGTGGAGAGGGTTCTGGTAAAAGGAAGAAAAAGAAAGGTCAGAGTGGTGGGAGTGGAAGCAATGGGTTGAGTTCAGCATCCACCAGTGCACCTGCACACACTGGATTCCAATTCCAGTGTCCTGACGAAGTTGTGGGCCAGGTGAATCTAAGCCCCACACGTCAGCAATCATACCCGTATCCAGTAACATATTATCCTCCTTTGGTCTATTTTGCAACTTACAACAGATTATGTCCCATGGGAACAATGGGTGGTCCTTCTTACTATGTTCCACCGTCACCCTACATGTATGCAGGCATGGATCAATATCCTTGTCAAATGCAATCTACACCGTTGGTTTCCTTCGAGATCTTCAGTGATGACAATGCTAATGGGTGTTCTATTATGTGAGGTATTGAAACGGAAGGGGATGTATGTGGTGGCAGTGGCACTTTTTTTAAGTTTTAACTGGTTTTGTTTCTTTGATGTGTCCCAGATAGTTTTGTTATGGTAATTTTGTAATATTGTAGGGGCTGATTTTGCATTTTGAACACCTCATTGTCAACACTCAAATGCTCAGCTTTAGTTTACTTTGATTTTGGACCAAACTGTAAATTGATGTTCTAACATGGAATGTATTCGGTTTTAAGAGCATATATAATCACCATAATCTTTGTCATTTGGAAATTGGAAATGGGTTAAGCTCAAGATAATCAATCATACATTATATAATCGAAGATGCCATATCGATCCAAAGGGCACGTTGTGAGGACTGAAGAGACTGAGCCAATTCCAGGGAAGTATAAGCAAAGGAATGAAGCAACATTCAAATTATAAATTTGATAAATAAAGGTTGACTCTCAATTATTGTTTTGGATAAACCAGACGCAATCCTGTGTGAGTCTGGTTATCCATTTAGTAGCTAAATTGAAGAAAAAGAAAATGTATTAGATAAGTTGAATTTGAAAATTGATTTCTAGTTGTGTAACTTAAAAGAAAGAGTATAAAACTATTTAAATTATTTAGATAGATAATAATTAAAATAAATTATATATTTAGTTGAGTTATTATTATCTTAATAATTTAGATAATAATTACATGCAAGTAATACTGACTGAGTTAATATTTATTGCTTAAAAAATAATTTTACCTTGTATTCTAAATTAGTTTAATTTAATTATTAATTATTTATTATTTGAAAAAATTAATAATAAGAATCATTAAAAAAATATTTAATTTAAAAGGTTAAAATAATTAGGCTGATAACTAGCTCTTCGTTTATTTAGTATCCAATTTATCTCCTCGTTCATAAAAACATTCATTAGAAATTATTTGTTAACAAATAAAACTCCTGTTAATGATTGAAAGGAAATGGATGCCACGTGGACTGATAAGCTGGCAAAAGGAAAGTTTTTAAAAGAAATATCAACAATATATATTTAAAAATATTTCTTTATCTAATTGGAATCTCATTGATAAATAATATATTTAACTTCATCAAAAAAATAATAAATTGAAGTCATTTATTCAACCTGCAACCTATGCTATTTGATTCCTAGCTACTAGCTAGAATGCCAAAATATCAATCTATGCAATTTTATTTGATGCGGGAGAGACTCGTCGTAGGTGGCACAGACGGTACACGCGGGAATCACATGCATGTGGGATATAAATTTGACTGTATTACTATAGCAAAACATATTAAATATATTTTTACTGTATAAATTACCAAACGAGTTTTTACTATGATGCTTTTGCCTAATTTTAAACACTAAATTGAGAGGGCTCCGTGCATTTTCTCCAACTACGAGGACACTTCTAAAGTGGCCATTGACTGAGCCGTGATTTGTGCCGCTTTTGATTGCAGGTTTCTGGGACACATATTTATGGAAGTTTCGAACTTTCTCTTTATGATGGATAAAATTATCCTTTCTTTTTTTTAATAAGAAAAAATAAAATAAAATTATGTCATTTTAATTAAGAAAATAAAATAAATCATGAGAACAAAAAAATGAGTGAGAAAATTTTTAAACGTGTGGATCTCACGTCTCTATGAGAGTGAAAGGATGTAAGGAGTGTCATTTAAAATGACACACTTTTTTTTCCTTTGAATAATCTTACATAGAAATAAAATAATAAGACTACTAAGTATTTACACGATAAAACAGAATTTTTTTTTCTTCAAAATTACAGTTATTCTATTTGAATTTTTCTTTCTTCCTTTTTGGTTAAACTTAGGTACACTCAGTATTAGTAATTTGATGCCATGGGTTAGTATCTCATACCAAAAGAGTGAAAAGACAATACCCTTTGTTGACATTCCGCACTAGGGTTAAAACAGGATCATATATACCTCAAAGTCAATTTATTTAGTTCGAACAATAATACTACCTTATTTTTTGTGGGCTGTCTTGTATACTAAAGACAATTACGATGTTAGAGTTATTTTGTAACTGCACATTTTTTTTCCTTGCAATATTAAATTAACAAATTTAACGCAAATTGACGTACAAGTTCATCGTTGTATGATGAGGCGTGAGGGCACAGTTAATGTCCCCTGCATTTTTCATGTTGTTGAGCCACCCATGTGAGTCATTCAGCTTGTGGACCTAAACCATTGTGAACATCAATGAAATAAAGTGCAAAAAGCATTAAAGGAAGGAGCATGTGTCAAGTGTAGTCCATTATCAGAAGCTTAAGCCCGAGAAGATAAAAAGGTGATGCTATGTGAACAAACAATCTTGCATTGAAGTGAGGTGAACTAGAAGAAAAAAGAAAAAAAAGAAAAAAGAAAAGAAGATCTCGTTAGGACATTGCCGTTGAAATGATAATGAAGAAAATTTTGAGAGAGACAGAGAACACAACGTAGTTGCTTAAATTTTTTTAATTCATCTTATTAATTTTAATAGCCTTTTAATATTAAGTTATAGTTAACATTCAAATCAAATGAATGTCTCCAAAAGGTTTGTGGTAAAAAAGATAAAGATAGAACTCTCTTTCTTTACTTCATAAAAAAACTCTTTATTCTCTTTACCAATAATTATATTTGATCCAAATAACTATAAAGGCGCATGAGATTCAAGGCCCAGAAAGGGCCCAAGAGGCGCAATGATCTCATAGCGCGATATGCATGAGTCAAGCATTGCACATGTTATAATATTAAGCAGCCTTACATAACTTAAATGCCAAGGAAAGGCTTTGCAACAAGCTAAGTTCTACCGCGCATAAAAATCAACGCAAGAAAGACAGCTCCAGCTTGACCTATTAAATAACTTTTTGATAACATTTTTCAGAAAATTTAATTTCTCTCCATATTCTTGAAAATCATGATTACCGGATAAATTTTTTTTTCTTATCTATCAAATGCCCCTAAAAGTTTATTACCTTTTTGTGAGGATGTAAATAAGGGGAATTAAGTTAAGCAATTATAAGATCTAGTTTAACTTGAAAAAAAATTTTTATTTAAAATCATTTATTTAAATGAACTAAATTTAAAGTTTAAGTTTGACATTTTAAAAATATGAAGCTTTTTATTTTGTAAGATAAAATACGAAACTTAAACTTGACTTGTTTAGCTGGTTTATAATTTAATTATTTTTTTCTTTAATACTTCCTTAAATATTTTAAATTTTATTAATTTATTCAGAAAATATTTTTATACTAAAATAAATAAAATAAAAAGAGAAAGAAAGTAAAAATTTATTTTAACATAAAAATTAAGTATAGTTTTCTATATAAAATTATAATTTATTAAGTAAGAGATATAAAGCATAGGCCGAAACAGGAGAAATCAAAGGGCATTACTTGAATGCTATTGCAGGTACATGTGAAGAGATGATCAAAAGAGCTGTATTTGCGAGAGAATTGGGCATTCCTATTGTAACGCATGACTACTTATTTTCATATTTATCATTCCTTTACTTAATCGCAAATCTATTTATTGAAAGAAAATAAAGTTTATTTATTACATTTTTCCATTTTGAATTTCGAATTGTACCCTCCCTTCCTTAAAAAAAGGAATAGAAGGTTCTCGTATAATTAGTATATCAAAAAAATTACCATATATAACATAAAATTTCTCCGCCAATTCTTTCTAATCGAGCCTCTCGATCTGTCATTATACCCCTTACTCATTCTTAAGACCAAAGAATCGGACAGAAAGGGAGGGGGGAAGCTCCCCATTCCTGGTTCTCCTGTAGCTGGATCCTTCGAAACCACAAGAATCCTGAGTTAGAATGGGATTCCAACTCAGTACCTTTTGAGATTTTGAGAAGATGCTCTTTGGAGAGCACAGTACGATGAAAGTTGTAAGCTGTGTTCGAGGGGGAGTTATTGTCTATCATCGGCCTCTATGGTAGAGTTAGTCGGGGCGCCTCTAGGTATTCTCTACCTACCCACCTGTGTCAGTTTTGGGTACAGGTACCCTTTTGTTGAAGGTCGTTCGAGCTTTTCCTGGGAGTATGGCATGGGTTTCTTCAGCGCCGTAGCACCTGGTACTCAAACATTGGCTCGAGGCAAATTCGAACCCATAGCTGATGATAGAACTAGAATATATATATTTTGTTTCCTACTCAAATGTGCCCATATTCTTACTTTTCTATCAATCTCTAATTCTAATCTCCTTCCCCATTCGGATATTATGGTGCTAGTATAGACCGAAATTCCGTGGGTAGGTTGGGAAGGGGGGGGGAAGAAGTTATGGACACATTTCCATACTTTATGTCTGAAGTACTTCACTTAATTTCTTCTGCAGTATTGGACTTTGGCGGTATTTATCATGCACTTTGGGACCTGAGACTCTTGAAGAATCTTTTTCATTCTTTGGTTATGTATGGAAAGATAGACTAACTTTTGTCTAAAATTATTACTTTTCGTTATTATTATTACTATCATTATTGTAATATGATTTACAAAAGTTTATATAATACACAAATAATTCAATTACCCGCTATGCCCCCATTTTTTATGTGTTAGATTAGTTTTCTTTTCATTGTGTTATATTTGCATTAAAAGTGCAACACTACAACAAAATGCAATCTCCACCCCACCATAATAATAATAATAATAATGATGATGATGATGATGATAAAATAACACCTGAATGTTCAAACAGAAAGGTTATTATTATTATAAAAAATGTACATATGAAAGACCTAACGATTCTAGGTTGTAAAATGGCATATATACACTTAGAATATCACACTTTTTAACCCAAGGAAATACTACTTGACCGAGACCGTCCATTGAACATGTACTTAGATACAAGTTTTCTTTGCCCAGTCTTAGATGCAAGTTGATGCCTTTGAAGTCCGCTGATTCATCCCAAGCATGATCACAATTACGGTCACGTCATCATGGTACTTCCTTCTCCTTCCAGCCGGAATACTCATCAACTCTTCCATGCTGAAACCTGCATGAGAGTTAACTTAGCTAACCAATAATCATACAACAACATATAAAAATCTACATTCATGCAAATAAAACTAAATTTAGCACAAAATCTTGAACCAACCTGCAGAATCAGCTGCTCTAGCTACAAGCTGCTCTATGAGAAACTTTGCTGGATCACCCAGAGGATTGCTCAAGATATAAGATTCTACTAGCTTTACTGCCTCATCATTGCTGAAGAAGTCAAATAAACCATCACTCCCTACTATAACAAATTGATCATAATTTGAGATTTTATGGACACTCAAGGATGGTTGAGTGGCAATATATGGTGGGCTTGTAAGATCACGAACTCGAAGGATTCCCATCAAAGCATCATTCAGATTTTTCTGCATGGGAATAAAATAAGAAAATCAAATCTAAGTTTGGTAGGACAAAGATTTGTTCTTCGCATCCGTCCACTCACAGTTAGTAGCTTGAATTTATAGGTTTATAATTATCATCTTTACTTTCTAAAACGTCGGTACCCACAAAAATCTTTTCGATACTTATTGGCTAAAATGTAAAAGAGAATACCAACCTTTTTCAAGTAGCCGACTCCAAAAGCACGAGTAACCTTGAGTTTCCCTTTCACTTTTCCTGCTATAATGACCTTGGGATCATCAGGATGGTCAGCCAGAAGTCTAACTCTTTCTGTTTCATTATCAACAGTATGGCTATCTGTAAGCTGTATGGCATTGAGTCTCTCACTCTTATTCATTCTGTCACCTGTACTGCATGTTGCCAATACCGCTCTGCTGTCACCGAGATTAAATGTATACAAATCATTACCATGAAGAAGCACAAGTAAAACACAAGATCCAATAGAAACTAAATCTGGACGTTCCTCCATTTCCTGCTCAACCATGTACAAGAAATCATTCTCAGCCTGACTAAGAGCAAGTTGGAGGCTATCAAGTACCCCATGTGAAAATGATTTACATGATGCTTCTGACTTAGCAGATGGACTGCTCTTTGAAAAAGAGCCATGATTAGAATCATTTTTCCCCTTAAATCTTGATAGAGATTGATCCTCAGCGCAAATAAGACTATCATCCAATTTATATTGAAGGGATCCACCCAAAACCACATCGTTAGTATCTTTGATGGAACCTGGTTCCAATTCCCAAATTAACTTGTTTAAGAAAGATATGATGGTGTCATACAGGGTACCAGCCAGAAAGTCAGCCGCATCTCTCCCATTAAAGCCATCATAAATTGCACAAAAGAGCCACCCATTTTCTTCAGAACAAACTGCTTGAACTCTATCTTCACCAGCAGCTCCTCCTGCAACTTGTACTTCCTCAGCATTAAGAAAACCTTCACTTCTGGAAGGATCACTCATGGATTTTAATGTGCAAGAGTCATATTCAAGTATGTCACTTGGAGTGGAAGGACTGCAGCTTAGGTAAGACAAACTACTTGGGAGGGAAGATGATAGCATGTCCAACTTTGAAAGACTTGGCGAAGAGGGTACCTTACGAAATGAATTAGGAGAGTCCCAACTTGGAAGGATTTCCCCTCCTATCTTACCATTGCAGATATTTGTGTTGGCTAGTGTAGCATTAGCACTTAAGGCTGCGCCTGACAAGCAAGAGAAACTACTTGTTCTACGGACATCAGGAAGGATTTTGTAGCCACTAGCGACCTCACAGGGAATACCTCTATCACTATTGCATTTATAGCCAAAACTTATTTTAAGTTCTCCTTCAGGACTAAGCATGTTTATCTCCTGTAATAAGAAATCCATTCTATACACTATCAATATAACTGGTATGTATACTATAAGGAAAAACCATACAGTAACCTATAAAATGTAATTGGACCCTATCAAAATAATTTCAATCTAAAAAAAAAAAAACTCCCTATTAAACCTTGACCAGCAAGGATAAGGGTAAGGGTAATCCTTGTACATAATCTTATTCATACATATATAAAAAAAGATTGTTTCCCAAATTTGGATTCGTAACCTTTCAGTCACAAAGGAACAACTAGCCATTTTATCATATAGAAAACTTGAATGAAAGATTTCCCAGATTGTATAAGGGCCTCCAATCATTCACTTAATAATGCCCAAACAACAAAGTGTCATTCAAAGCCAGCAACTATCATCACAACAAGTAAAAAATGGCAATTATAAAAAATATATAACCATAATGATACTGGAACCAATTTTGTAAGTTAATATATGTGATCGTATATGATAAAATATGTGCATCCAAAGGTTTGTACATGTTAGTGAGCCAGTAAAGCAGACAATTCAAAGATATAAACAGAGAATGGGAGAGAGGAGGCGCAGGACGGGGAAAAATAGTTTAATATCTAAAACTAGCAGCAATACCATCCCCCCTTGCTTACTCACTTAACTGTCAGAAGAAAAATAAAATACACAAAATACCAAGCAAACAAGAGAAAGACAATTAGACGTGAGATCACCAAACGCTAGAATAGATGGCTGGAATCAAACATGATAGAGCAAAAATTCATAGACTTACGACTTAAAGCTTTATAGTATCAGCGTTGTCTTCCATGTCTGGCCAGTTTATTATTTTATGATGGATCTCATAGACTCTTTGGGAAATTATTAATTTTGCACAAATGATTGTATAACATCCTAATAAGAGATCGTTAAAAGATTTGTTTTTGTTTTTTATATTGGGACTAGAATGTTAGATCTTCTATTATGATGCCCATCATGCATTTGGAATATAAAAAGGTTCATGACAAGAAAAAGAAAAAATGACAGTCCAAATCATGGCATGGTCATTGCATAAATGATTTATAATATCTGAAAAAGGAAAAGAAAGCCATTAAAATGAAATTGAATTTGAGCAGTACTGTTAGCTTCAAACCCAACATTGTTGGCAATATATATCTACACGGAGATAATAAAAAACCAATCACACAGCTTTTATCTAAGTGGAATTATGCATACATCAACATCACATTTATCCCAAACTAATTGGAGTTGGAAGTTGTTGAACCCATATAAAAGCAAGAACAGGTTAAAGAAAAATAATATAAGCATATATGACAACAAAATAAATAAATGAAAACAAAAAAAAATTCTACCCTTCCATAATGCTAATAGTTTCCCTTCAGTGTGTGATTAAATAAACCGCACACTAATCTATTTCACACTGCATTAAGTCTTGTTTTATTACATTCCCCCAAGTAAGTTGACCTCTTCAGTTCTTTATTTCAAGCACTTAATAACAAACTTCTTTTCTTACCAAAGCATCTATAGGTCTTCAAAGAATATGCCTAAATCATCTCAATCTATGTTTTCTCATCTTTTCTTCCATCGATACTACTCCAACTTTTCAGTGAATATCTACATTTCTTATTTTATACATCTCTATATGACCACACATCCACCTTAACATCCTCATTGGCTAACATTCAGTTCCGTATTGCATTGCAGCCTTCTTCTTGTTTTATACAAAATTTCTTTTAGCCTAAAAGGGATTTTACAATCACACAAAAATCTTGATCTACTATGTTATTTCATCCAACCTGCTTTTGATTCTATGGTTTACATCATCATCAATCTCTACCCCATTTTGTAAGATTGATCCAAGAATCTAAATGCATCTTTCTTGGTACATCTTGTCCTAGCATATTCACGAATTCTTGATCTCCTCCTCTAGTCGTGGCAAACCGACACTCCATCTATTCAGTCTTACTCCAACTTAACATAAATTCTTTAGACCCAGGTCTTTCTCCATATTTTTAGTTTAGTGCTAACACCAGCCCTGGTCTCATCAATAAACACAATATCATCTGCAAATAGCATATACCATGGCAGCTTATTTTGGATATCTTTAGTTAGCTTATCCATAACTAGGGAAAAATGATGAAGACTCCATGCAGAATCTTAGTGTAAACCTACTTTGATTGGAAAATAAGCCTTCACACATGTTAGTAATGCATCATATATATATCCTTGATGGCGTCTACATACAATTTTGCATAATAGTAATTGTGCATACTGGTATATAATTCTTTTGTTTGATCAGTTCAACCAAGCTACACAGCTAACAGCTTAACAATAAGATCTTACCCCAAAAATTATTTTTTTTAAAAAGGAGGGGGTTTATCAAATCAATTCCATTCACAAAGAGAAAGAATGTAATACAAGCTAAGACGATGACATATTCTCCCTCCTAAATGATCATAACAGAACTCTAGAAATACAAAAGACACAAGGTATCGAGATGCATGTCATAAGTTTGATCCAAGGGCAAGGCCTCCTAGTTAACCAAATGAAAAAATCCATTCAGTAAGGGTCTTCTCCAATGCCCCTGAATTTGCCCATTAAGGACACTCCCTTCAAACACCGATGAGCAAAGCACCTTAATAGTTAAGCTTAAGTGAAAGCAGTGTGCTCATAACTATCGGCACTCAATGTAACAGCCCAATAACTGAAACTAAAACTCAGGAACCTTGAGGTGAAACGAAACCATACCAAATGCGCTTTTTTGTATCAGTTCCCATTCAGTAATAACCTCACCTAATAAGAAAATTTTCATTTTCTTATGTATTCTTGGACCTGTTAAATGGACTCCAGGCGAGGCAATCCATACGAAAAGCCAACAATTTTTCATTTACCCCGCAAAACAACAGAAACCCATAAGAGAAAAAGACAGAACACAAGAACTCAAAGCGCATATATCTAACCAAACCAAACAGAACATATCAAGAAAAGAAAAGAAAAGAAAATGAAGTAACCTTAGCAATAGATGGCGAAGAGTGAAGAAGCGAAGGCAAAGAGAGTCAACAGAGAGGAGAGGAGGAATTAAGAATGTGGCTGGCAATACAAAGGTGGTTGAGAGATAGATAGGACTAGGACTAGGACTAGGACTAGGACTAGGAGGAGAGTATATTATAGAGAGAAAGAGTGGGAGTGTGACTTAGCAGAATGAATGCGTGCGCCAAAGCGAGTGGAGAATCTGCATCATCATATTGAAATTGGATGGTACACAATGCATCGCAGATGAGAAAAATTACTATCAGTATGGTTCTTCCGTTTTTGGTGTCTCTCTAGTCTAGTCTCTACTATTTACCGCAGCCCCTCTTTTTTCTTTGATTGAGTTTCATTTACACACGTAACGTAACCTTAGTCATCAACATCCCACAAAATCCTCAGCCCCCTCTTCCACTTCCTTTTTGTTGGACCTTTTTTTTTTTCTTTTTTTTTTTTCTTTTCGTAAATGGGTAGGAATTGAATACATAATTTAGGGATAGGATTCTTTGACACATGTCAAATTTAAAACAATTTAAAGTTTGACACTCATACGAGAGTCGTTAGATCAAAAAAGATCTCACATGTTTATAAATCATCAGAGTCATTGATCGTTTTTTGATCTAACGACTCTCAGATAAGTTGTTCAACTTTAAATTTGACACATATATCAAAGAATCCTGTCCCTCCGAATACATCGATGAAAATTAAACAGATAACTTAATATAAATTGTCAAAATCCTTACCACTTCATCAATCCTAAATGGCTTTTTTTTGTTGGCTTCGACGTGCGTTCTTTTATCTCTCTTGTTTTGAGGTTGTGGAAAAACAAAATTTTGTTTTCGTTATTTCTTCCACCACATATATTAGAGATGAAGATTAAGAATAAACACAAGACTATTTAATTGTTTAGATTGTATATATTTATTATTTTATATGCATACATTTATGTATACATGCCTCTTCAATTATAAAATTATCTGAATTTTATAGAATTTTTAATAATATCTTGAAAATAAAATTAATATGAAAACAAAATGATATTTTCATAGATTAAATAAAAACAAACAAAACATCTCTTTAAGCTTCCATTGATGTTAGTTTCTAAATCTCGTGATTTCACTAATAATAATAACATAAACTTCGATGAATAATCATGTCACTTTACTGTATGGAATAGGATGCTCAATATTGTGTATTAGTGGCTAACATATGAATAGATGTTGCCTATGAATTGAATGGCTCAACGCTGGATTCCCGTTGTTTATTGTATTGCGTTTGCTTTTCTACAATTCTACACCAATTGTCTAGTTATAGAGTTTTTCGCCCAAAATGAAATCTACCAACCAAATAGGAAGTTGAAAAAATAATAATGACAACAATTTTAGAGAGATTGGTTGCTAGTATAGAGGTCGTTTGGTTCACCTTTAAAAAAAAGTAACTTTTACTACTTCCTTATTTTTAAAGTACTTTTTTACAAAAGTTAAAGCTATTTATATTTTTATAAAAATATTTAGTTTTTAAAAAAATATTTGGCTTTTGACTTCTACTTTTCTGAGAAGTTAAAAATTTTAGCTTCTGAGAAAAGTAGGTTTTTGGCTTTTTTTGTGACTTCTCCTTTTTTTAAAAGCAGACATCCAAATGAACTAAAAATGAAAAGTGCTTTTTTTCTTAATAAAAAGCAGCTTTTGAAGAAAAAAAAGCTCATCCAAACAGGCTCATAGTATCGACCTAGTAAGGCTACTTATAGGCTTTTTGACCTAACAAATGTAATATTGAAAATATTCTACCATCTAACATTTTATAAGACTAATGTAGGAAAATGCACTTTAGGTGTCTACACATCTAGTCATGCACCTGTGACATATGTGTGTTTCATGTGATGACAAAAGTGAAACACGTCACTGCAGAGTGTGGATTTCATTCCGTCCAGTTTGATCACGTCAGTTCTGTCTAATGACATTATTACTAGGTGCACATTTAAGACACATTAATACCAGATGCACATTTCACTCATGTTATCGGCACGGCAAAGTTAGTCGGCACTATACATACTTGTGTCAGGTGCACGACCAGACGTGTTCACAAACGCGTCTTCCTCATTAATATGGTAAAACGGTGAAATATTTGCAAAATTGCATTTGTCAGGTCAAAAAGCCCTGCTTATACTGTTACGAATTATTTTTGGTCCACATTGGTGAAGGGATGCTTGTAAATCAAAAGGGAATGACGGCTGATAGGAAAATAAAGTAGCCCCACATGATACCTTCCATGCAGAGATTTAGACGGACCATGTTATAAGGTGCCCCATATTTAGGGTAGGCAAAACAAAGAAAAAGGTGTGGACAAGGTGCCAAACTCATCACCACCACCCATTCAATTCAATTTTGAGGAGAGACAATTCAACATTCTGATTAAAATGAGAAGATCAGGTACAGACACGGATCAACATCATCATGATCATGACCTGCGTGTACTCTTTTAGGAGAAAACGATAAAAACGAATACCTGGATTAAGATGCTGACGCTCATCAGCTAGTCAACCAATCACTTCGCGTTAGTATGAAGCAAATCAAAAGGTGATAGTTGATTTTGATTCCACATCCAGAGGAGGAGGAATAAGGATTTTGAATTATATATATATATATATATATATATATATATATATATATATATATATATATATATATATATATATTTTTGATGGTAAGAAAGGGTGGAAGAAGGTTCATGTGTATCACTATGACCGCAACCTAAGCTATTACATAACTGTTATTTTCAAACTCATTATCCATACAAAATTTGCTCATGACTAGATATAAAATCACCGTAGTACTAGTGATATGGAAACCATAATCAATATCTGTAAGTGCCTAAATATGATATAAATCAGATAATCGCCAACAAAACCTATCCAAGAGTAGTCATCACTTTGGATCTACATTGTAAAAGACTTTTGTTGATCCCTTCTTCGACCGAATTTGAGAAACCTGACCAAATACAAAATCAATCAAATATAACTCAACAAAGAAGTCTCTATTTTTTATAAACCAAATCATACTACAAAGTTTTCATTCAAACAGCTTCAAGAAAATGACTTCACTGCATACAAGATATAAAACATGATAAATATTGAAGGATGAAAGGAAGCCTGGCTAATTAAAGAAAGCAAACTTATACAAAAAAAAATAGAGTAAATACCTTTTTTGGTCCCTAACAAAAAACACGGTCCCCACTTTAGTCCCTTACAAAAATAAATTAGTCAATTAGTCCCTAACAAATTCAAAGTGGACCCATTTAGTTGAAATCGTGGTCCCTCACAAATTCAAAAAAGACCCATATTAGTCCCTCAAAAGGACTAAAATGGGTCCACTTTGAATTTGTTAGGGACTAACTGACTAATTTATTTTTGTAAGGGACTAAAGTGGGGATCGTGTTTTTTGTTAGGGACCCAAAAGGGTATTTACTCAAAAAAATATCAATTCACACCCAGTTTTCTAGTGTAAGTAAATGGAATTCATACCTTAATTCGTATGATGTCTGAAATATCAGCAACATGGGTTCCACCACAGGGGCAGCCAGGATTATCTCCTATCCTCACAATGCGAGGTGTGCTTTCCTGTTAAGGTTTATGCAATTAATATCAAAGCATACTGTGGTGCAGAAATGAAACAACAAAACCAGACTGATCCTTGAGATGAAATTAAAATTTCAGTATCCTTTGATGTATGTATAAGCATGTAATGTACTTAACGGTGATATTATGGTTATGGTAAAAGAACCATTTTCTTTGACAGGCACAAACACACGTATACACCCAGAAAGCAGCAAAGGGCAAACAATTGTATTCCTTCATCAACACTGATATTAGAATAAATTGATTTGATTACAGTGATTGGAATGAGAGTTTTTATCTTCATCAAAACAATTTTCCAAGTTATGACGACGACTTGTCCGAGTCTTCTTTGCCACAGAGAATTCTATCATCAGAGGGCCAATGGAAGAAACTGTATGAGCTGGAATATTCCTGACACTATACTAAGGTCAAGGGAGGCTATATATAGTACTGTAATGTTGTCAGCTGACCTTCAACAGAAAATCTAACACAAGTTTACTAATTTATCCAAAAAGAAAACAAACAGAAGAATTTGGCATGCAGAAACTGAAAGGCACCTTGTAAGATAACAAAATGACGGGCATTAGGGTTATAGCAAAGCTAGCAACTAATTCAGGATAAAGAACACACAGAAAATTATTTGCAGTAACCATATATCTTTTATAGACTGACCTTGGGAACATAATCAGGAAGACAACCACCACAAAGCTTAGCGGCAGCATCATAAGGTAATATATCAGCAGAAACCTAAATGACAAGGTTTTCAGAACCTGATGCCACATATAAAAAGCAATTTATCAACTCTGTAACTTACTTTTCCTCCCACTGAAATTAAAGCATTAACCTCTAGCTCTAAATCCTTTTGCTTATTCCTCATTTCATCTTGTGGAATTGTGCCTTTATATTCAACCCAGGGCCTGGAAACAAGAAAATAGTAAGTGCAAAGCAAATTGTAACTTGTGAACACATTTCAATAGAACACTCATATGATACAACCGCAAGAAATTATTCAAGGTCATATCTTTCTTGGAATAAACCATTAAATTGGTCCTCCAAATATTATGGCATCACCACATTAAGCCTCCACGGATTTTTTTTCACCAAAAAATTCCCTCAAAGATATAAAATGTCACCACATTAATCTTTATGCAGGACTAAAGAAGTGACACTGAAGAATGGATTTAGTAACTGTTTTATATCTTTAGAGGACTGATTGATGACATGCTAATCTTTGGAAGATTAATGTAAGGGTTTACTCTATTTCTAATAACTAGAGTCAATAATGATTAATATTATCCTAGATTAGCAATGATTTGACAGATAAAACATTGCCTCTGAGCTTGGATAATAAAGTAGGAAATCACTTTCATCCCATTTCAGGTAAGGTGTTCATAGTTAGCCATACAGACAATACACTTTGAAGTCATTAAAAGCAAGAAAAATGATATACCCATCAGGAAAATGGTAAGCTTTGCCAGGCTCTAAATGACCCAATCCTATTCTTGGGAGACAAATATCAAGCAAATGCCCGGCTGAATGCAACCTACACAAATAAAGAGCAAGAAAAGATTGAGAATTATACAAGCAGAATGATAGGATCTTCAACTCAAAAACTGAAAATAAAAGGGATACAAAGGAATTTCCTACATAAACCAGATTTTGTATATTGAAGGTATAAAGGAAAATTACAAACAGTATTGGATGACAAGAAACAACAACAAATCAAAAAGGTAAATGACAAGGTAGATGACAGAAAGAAATTATGAATAATTGATGCAATTCGAGAGGCACCCTTTCTCTCCCAAGTTCCTAGCCCAATCCCAAGTAATTGCCTGCCTTCTCCATTTCTTTCCTCTCTATTTATTATCCATACCCACTTCTAGAATATTCTCTACTAACTAACCATTTTGTTGAGTCAGCATTGAGAGGTGGGAATCTCCTATAACACTTCCTACAATACTCTTTTACAACTGGTGTCGTATCATAGAATTACAAATTTTCTTATAAGCAGTGTAGTAATCATACTTTTAAAAAAGAGTATTAAAACTCCCTTGTTGAAATAAAATCAAGGCTAGGGTGCCAGTCTTAAAAAAAGTTAATTTTAAAAGTTGATAATATCATATGATTAAGGGAAAATAAGGGCATATACGAAGCACAGAAGGTAAACCTTTTCTGTTCCTGTGCAAGCAAAATAAAGTTTGGCTCTGAATAAATTCTATACAGAAGTCAGATTTGTTGGTCATATAATAGCAGAAAAGCTTAAAACAAAAAAGGGAAGATCTAAATCTACTGAAATGATGCCTCTTTAATCATTTTTCTTTGACCAACATCACCAACAATTGTTTAATAGCAATGAGATTTGCAGGAAATAATTTTAATAATTACTAATTGTAGATTATTCTAGAGTTTTTTACTTGTTTCTAGCTACTTGTCCCTTTGAGTAGTGTGATGCCTCTTCGGTTACTGTGTATTTTATTTATTACTTCAACTCCTTAACTACCTTGTAATCTGTATATAAAGATCCCTTTGGGTGTCAATCAATATATGAAAAATACATTTCAGTCTTATATTACATCATGGTATCAAGAGCAGGTTATCCTGTGGTCATCTTGTAAACCTCCACGTTTCTTTCCGTTTTTCATTTTTCACTGTTTATTAAAATAACTCAGAAACCATATCTGGACCCCTCCAATCACGAAACCAAGGCCACCATTGGACTCAGAAGCCATTTCCGAGTCGACCCACGTCAGCCCCGTCGCCGGAAAGTCAGCTACGCGCCGCCACTGCAGAACTGCCCCTCCGGCGCGTGTGAGCCACGCGCCGCCCTGCCGGCCTCCGTTTGTCACGCGGCTTTCACAGAACGGCTCACCTGGCCTTCCTCTTCCTGTTCTGGGGGTTTAAATCACGATTGGAGCACTCTTCTTGCTGGGTCCAGTTGGTTCCTCTTCGTGACTTTCCGGAATAGTGTTTCTGAACGATTGGAGTTCCTTTTTTTTTGCTGTTTTTTTATTTTTTTGAACAATGGAAGTTGAAAATATTGAGGCTGCGAATAAGCATTCTGAAAAATCATCCGGTAATGTTTCTGGTGTCTTTCCTCTTCCCTGTTCTTCGTCTTCCGGAGACAACCCAGCTATACAGATTACTAACCACCGTTTAAACGGTAAGAATTATGTGCAATGGCATCAATCTGTCAAGTTGTTTATCCAAGCAAAAGGGAAAATGGGGTATCTTGATGGAAAAAAGGAAAAACCCGAAGCTGATGAACCTGATTATGATAAATGGATGACTGAAAATGCCTTGGTCATGACCTGGTTGACTAACTCCATGGATCCTGATATCAGTCAAACTTATTTGTTTCTTGATACGGCTCAGGAAATTTGGGATGCCGTTAAAGAATATTATTCTGACCTGGGCAATGCTTCTCAGGCTTTTGAACTCAACACCAAGGTAAGAGAGTTACATCAAGAGGGGATGTCTTTGACTGAATACTTTCTTGCTTTAAAAACTCTGTGGCAGGAGTTGGATCTTTATGATGCAGCAGATCTTCAAGGTTTAGAAGCTAATGCAAGGTTTAAGAGTTACTTAGAGAAAAAACGTCTCTATGAACTCAACACCAAGGTAAGAGAGTTACATCAAGAGGGGATGTCTGTGACTGAATACTTTCTTGCTTTAAAAACTCTGTGGCAGGAGTTGGATCTTTATGATGCAGCAGATCTTCAAGGTTTAGAAGCTAATGCAAGGTTTAAAAGTTACTTAGAGAAAAAACGTCTCTATGATTTTCTTGCTGGCCTTAATCGTGATCTTGATGATGTTCGTGGAAGGATATTGGGTCAGAACCCGTTACCTTCTATTGCAGCTGCGTTTTCTATGGTACGACGAGAGAAACTTCGCCGAAAGGTAATGTTGGGAGACAAGAACTCTAAATCCTCCGATGTATCTGCCTTAGTAGCAAAACATACTCCTCGTCCCCCTAGTGATGCAAAACATTCTGACCGATGGTGTTCTTATTGCAATAAGAGTGGTCACACTCGCGAAAAATGTTGGGAAATTCATGGAAAACCACCAAACTGGAAAACAAAGGGGATGAACAAGAGTCGTGCTTATCAAATCTCTTCTGATGTGAAGGGTGAGGGGTCTTGTGCCTCTCCAAATTCCGATGGTGTATTCATCCCTAAAGCTCAGTATGAGCAATTTCAGAAGGTGATGTCTCAATCTGCTGAAGCAACTAGTCATGTTGCTCAACAAGGTATGGCATTCCATGTTGATCATAGTAGTCGTTGGATTCTTGATTCGGGAGCTTCTGATCATATGACAGGTAATGCATCCCTGTTTTGTTCTTATACCCCTTATTATCACCAGTCACGAATAAGGACTGCTGATGGTAGTTTCTCTAATATTGCGGGAAAGGGATCCATTAAGCTCTCTGAACATATTACTCTGAATTTTGTCCTTCATGTCCCTTCTCTTACTTGTAACCTTATCTCTATTAGTAAACTTTCCTCTGAATTGCATTGTGTTGCTAAATTCTCTGCCAAAACCTGTGTTTTTCAGGAACAGGATTCGGGGCTGATGATTGGCAGTGCTAGAGAGGAAGAAGGGTTTTACTATTTTGAAGAAGATTCTCATGAAAAGAGATTTTTTGCAAATCACTCTTTATGTTTATCAAACGATTGTAATGATGTTTTGTTGTGGCATCGTCGTTTAGGACACCCAAATTTCTTTTATCTTCAAAAGCTGTTTCCAAACTTATTTTTCAATAAAAAACCAAGTTCCTTTTTTTGTGATGATTGTCAGTTTGCAAAACACTCTCGTGTTTCTTATTTCCCTAGAGATTATCATGTTTCGTCTCCATTTACATTGATTCATAGTGATATTTGGGGCCCAGCTCGTGAAAAAAATATATCTGGAACTCGTTGGTTTATTACCTTCATTGATGATCATTCTAGAGTATGCTGGGTATATCTTCTAAAAGATAAGTATGAAGTTGCAGCCACTTTTAAAATTTTTCATGCTATGGTACAAACTCAATTCCAGACCTCTATCCAAATCCTGCGAACTGACAACGGTACTGAATATTTTAATTCTGTTCTTGGTGATTACCTAACCAAGCAAGGTATTATCCATCAAAGTTCTTGTCCTAACACCCCTCAACAAAATGGGGTGGCTGAAAGAAAAAATAGACATCTCATTGAAGTTGCTAGAGCCCTCTTGTTTACAATGCATGTCCCTAAATACCTGTGGGGGGAGGCTGTCTTGACTGCCTCATATCTCATCAATCGGATGCCCTCTCGCGTCCTGAATTTTCATTCTCCCATATCTTGCCTTACCCGCTCTTTTCCCTCCTTTCGGGCTCTCTCTTCCCTTCCTCCAAAGTTGTTTGGCTGCGTGGTTTTTGTTCATATTCCTCCACATCAAAGGTCCAAACTTGATCATAAGTCTGTTAAATGTGTCTTCATAGGATATCCTCCTAATCAAAAAGGTTACAAGTGCTACTCACCTTCTCTTCGAAAGGTCTTTGTTTCTATGGATGTTACTTTTTGTGAAACACAATCATTTTTTCCCTCGACTTCTCTTCAGGGGGAGTCTATTGGTATAAATGAAGACAAGTCTTGGATTCCAAATAATTCTACTGTCTTACCTTTACCCTTGGAAACATCTGTTGTTTCTTTACCTTTGGAGTCAGGGGGAGTTAATGTACAGGAGACAAGGACAGCAACTGTACCAGAGACTGGAGATCCTCCCGATAAATGGGGAAAATTCTACAGCAGGCGTAAATCTCCTCAAGATCCTCTAGACTGCCAGGATTCTGACCCGAGTCCTAGTTCTAGCAATCCACTTGAGAACACTGGTACAACTGACCTAGATGTGCCCATTGCCCTTCAAAAAGATACTAGATCTTGCACTGCTCATCCTATTTCTCATCACATTTCATATGAAAAGTTATCTCCAGGTTTTCGTGCTTTCAACACTGTATTAGACGGTACAAAAATACCAAAAAATATCCAAGAGGCACTTAATGACCCTAAATGGAGGGATGCAGTCTTTGAAGAAATGGATGCTCTTAAAAAAAATGGAACTTGGGAGTCCGTGGCACTTCCCAGAGGAAAGAAAACTGTAGGTTGCAAATGGGTGTTCACAATAAAATTTAATGCAGATAACAGCATCAACAAATATAAGGCCAGATTGGTTGCCAAAGGATTTACTCAAACTTATGGGATAAACTATCAGGAGACGTTCGCTCCCGTTGCCAAACTTAACTCTATCCGAGTCTTACTATCACTTGTTGCCAACCTTGATTGTCCCTTGCATCAATTGGACGTAAAGAACGCTTTCTTAAATGGGGACTTACATGAGGAAGTTTACATGGATCCACCACCTGGTTTTGAACAGGGAGATGGTTCAGTATGCATGTTGAAGAAATCTCTTTATGGACTTAAACAATCCCCTAGAGAGTAGTTTGAAAAGTTTACTCGTGTTGTTAAAGAAAGAGGATTTATCCAAGCTCAGACTGATCACACTTTATTTTTTAAACACTCCGATAGTGGCAAAATTGCTATCCTCATTGTTTATGCTGACGACATAATTGTCACAGGTGATGACTGGGAGGAAATAAAATCTTTAAAAGGGGGTTTAGCTAGTCAGTTTGAACTAAAGGATCTTGGATCACTCAAATATTTCCTTGGAATGGAAGTTGCTCGTAGCAAGGCGGGAATTTCCTTATCTCAGAAGAAATATATTCTAGACCTGCTACAAGAAACAGGTATGCTTGGGTGCAAGCCTGCAGAAACTCCAAATGAACCCAATATTAAATTGGGAATTGAAGATGGAAAAGATGTTGACAGGGAGCAATACCAAAGGTTGGTGGGGAAGCTGATCTACTTATCTCACACTCGGCCTGATATTGCATTTGCGGTTAGCATGGTTAGCCAATTCATGCATTCTCCTAAGGAAAAACACCTTAGTGCGGTTTATAGAATCCTCAAGTACCTCAAAAACACCCCTGGTCGAGGAATGCTCTTTAAAAGGGGACACAAGAGGATGATAGAAATCTATACAGATGCTGATTGGGCTGGCTCTGCTATGGACCGAAGATCCACTTCAGGATATTGTACCTATGTCTGGGGAAATCTTGTGACCTGGAGAAGTAAGAAACAAACTGTTGTTGCCAGAAGCAGTGCAGAAGCAGAATTTCGGGCGCTAGCCCATGGCATTTGTGAAGGAATCTGGTTAAGAAGACTCCTTGGAGAATAAAGATATCTTATTCTCTACCTGTGAGACTCTATTGTGATAATAAGGCTGCAGTCAGTATTGCTCAAAATCCTGTACATCATGACAGAACCAAACATGTGGAGGTTGATCGTCATTTTATCAAAGAAAAATTGGAGGAGGGTAGTGTATGTTTGTCATATGTACCTACCAAGGAGCAAACAGCCGACATTCTCACCAAAGGATTACACAAACCCATCTTTGAGGATTTAATTAGCAAGTTGGGGATGATCAATATATATCTCCCAACTTGAGGGGGAGTGTAGATTATTCTAGAGTTTTTTACTTGTTTCTAGCTACTTGTCCCTTTGAGTAGTGTGATGCCTCTTCGGTTACTGTGTATTTTATTTATTACTTCAACTCCTTAACTACCTTGTAATCTGTATATAAAGATCCCTTTGGGTGTCAATCAATATATGAAAAATACATATCAGTCTTATATTACATCACTAATTCTAACAAGGCTACCTTAAAAAAGAAAACATTCCCGAGCTGGATATCTCAACTCAATATAAAAAGAAGGGGAAAAAAATATAGAAATAATTACTAATTCTACCCGGAATTCTGTTTTCGCCTGGGCTCATCAACAAACAGTGAAACCTCCTTCCCTTTATCGAGTGTGGGCTCAAATTCCCCTCCCAGATTCTCAAAGAAACCATAGTGAAAAACCTACACAAAAACAAGGAAGCAATATACCTAAATGAACCTCAGAGACAAAATTAACAAAAAAAGAAGAAGAAGCTCAATATTGATTTTACAAAACATACAATTCCATCTTTGGATCGAACATCATGAACCACAAACTTGATGTCTGAGCCATCAATGTGTACCAAACCAGTGTCCGCCGGCTGACCACCTCCTTGTGGATAGAAGATTGTACGATCCAGTATCAAAGCATGTCTGTCATCATCTCCCTATGCACATTTACCCAAGAAAGAAAGAAAGAAAGCAAATTACTTAAGATAAATTCTCAACTATAGTTGACTCTATTTAACAATTTCCTTATTTTTCTGATCCTTCAACTTATCCCACATATTCTCAGAATTAAAAGATGGAATACAAAAAAAAAAAAATTAAAGGTGAATAACACATAAGAACTAAAGCAAACCTTGAAGTGAGAAAGGAGCGTGGCAGTGGATTGGAGCTTCCACATGTCATCATAGTACTCCAGCTTTGTGGGAATCTTAAGCATGGTCTCCCCCATGTCCCAGAATCGCTTCAACTTGGTTTTGGATAGCAGCAGTACCTGGCGGCGTCAGCATATATAGCAAAAGAAAAGGGAATACCTCATTTAATACATGAATGGAGCAGACACATAACGAAGCGGTTACTTTTCTAATACGTAATTGACTTATGTCAAAGTTTGTTGAGTCATTCATATTATACAATATACAAAAGGAAGTCCCTTTTTCCTATTGCGTTTTTTTGAAACCCTCTCGGGCAAGAAGAACCCTAAATGGGAGAAATTGGGGGATGTGGATGCCATGCATCTCAACGTGTCATTTTTGGACTTTCTTGTTTGGTTGAAGTTTTTAAAAAATTTAACTATGCATCTATTTTTCCTATCTATCTACTTTTGTGTAAAAAATTTGGAGAAAAAATACTGTTGAAAATACCTCTTCCAAGGTGGTATTTTCAAGTTGCCTAGGCTAATGGAAGAAAGAGAAATGTGTGGATGCCAAAAATACCCTCTTCCATTAGACAATAGTGTTTGCTACGAGGGTTATTTTGTAATTTGAAGTTATTTCCCCATCTATATTTTACTTCAAACCAAACATAGACTTTATAAATTTTACCTAATTTACCTGATAAAATTTTTTCTAACCAAACAACTTTTTTATATTTTCCTACCAAACTCACTCTCCAACCATTTTCCTATCAATTATATTTCCTTTGTATTCAAAAAATTTCTTCTCAACCAAAGCTATTCCAAAGACTAGCTATGGGAGAATTTTGCAAACGTCCCTCTCAATACATAGTAGAAACCTAGAGTATGTTTGGATTTTTTTCTTTTTTTAAGTTGGAAGCTACTTATAAGTTAACATTAAAAAAAAAGCTTAAAAAAATTGAAAATTATTTGGTAATCACATAAAAATTTTAGGTTGAAAATTATTTAAAAACACATTTTTCTTTTTCTTTTGGTATTCTTAAAAGCACATATTTCAATAAAATTATCTCTCTCTTTATATTTTTATATTTTTATAACTCTTCTTAGAAGCTTTTAATTTTTCAGTTTTTTCTTCATTATAAAAAAATAACTTTTCATTATAAGAGTTTTTTCGAAAATCTATTTGGGCTAACTTACGTTTATAAATAGTTTCTTACTTAAAATTTTTTTTATTCAAACAAGCACTAAGTTATAAGGAAATTCTTCATGTTGAGGAGGGGGATTGATTATGTATATCAGCATGTATTCATGGACAAGCTTGCGTTGGTGCTACTGTCATTGTTTACTGGTAAGAGAAAATCATCATTCTTGAAACATTGTACGAGAGTGAAAATTTGGAGATTTTGTACCATGAAGAATAGTGCTTTGAAGGTAGAGCTAAGTGGGGCTTTGTCTACCAGTGTGTGTATGTCATAATAAAGTATCTACTTCTCCAACCGTTTGACCAAGGGAGTTTTTTCCGACTAAATACTCTTTTTAGTCTCTAATAAAAAATATAATTTCCACTTTAGTCCATGATAAAAATAAATTAGTCAGATAGTCCCTAATAAATTCAAAGTGAACGCATTTAGTTGAGATTGTGGTCCCTCACAAATTCAAAAAAGACTCATATTAGTCCCTCAAAAGGACTAAAATGGGTTCACCTTGAATTTGTTAGGGACTAACTGACTAATTTATTTTTGTAAGGGACTAAAGTGGAGACCATATTTTTATTAGGGATCAAAAAGGATATTTACTCTTTCTTTTTCCTAAATTATTAATGGGAAAAACTATTCTTATGTCACATGATATAAGTTTTCTCTCCTACACACCCTTCGATAACTGTGCCATCTTTTTTCTTTTCTTTTCTTTTATTTTTCAGGTGGTGGAGCCCACTAGTTTATCTCTATGACATGTGATAACTATCTCCTTTAACATGAGATTAATAAAACCCATTATTAATCTAGTTGATGAGATAAAATTTTCCTTCATTAGTAAATTCCCATGTTGTTGATATGGCTTATTTTCATTGTTGTAAACCCGGCCCGACCCGATCGGGTCGACTCGGAACTCGGTGACCCGGTGACCAGACCGGTTCGGGTCAAGCATTGGACCGGTCATGCATCGACCCGGTCAAAATCCGGCCAAACCCAGTCAAAACCGGTGACCCGGTGACGCAGTGACCCGATCAAGTTATGTATTTAAAAAAAAACCAAAAAATCAAAATTGTTTCATCTTGTCAATAAAATGTAGAACTCATTTTAATTTTTTTTTTTGTAATTTTATTTGCTAGTATACCCTTTTACAATGACTTCAAATTTCAGCTTTCAATACTGAAACAATTTGCGAAATAATAAATTAAGAGATTGTGACATATGTCATTTTTAATGTAGTTGAATTTGAAAAATATGAGTCAATGTCATTAAGAGATATGTTTATGCGGATTATGAGTTGCAATTTAAATTGACATAGTAATAGTATGCATTTTTATTTATTTATGCTTCATGTTTTTGAGCTTATTTAATAACCTTATTTAATTCATTTTAGATATGAAGAATATAATTGAATTTATATTTTCATATTTATATATATTTTTATATATCTATATATATATATATATCTGGGTCATCCGGTCCGACCAGTAACCCAGTACCCTTACCGGATCAATGCCCGAACCAGATTTAATAACACTGCTTATTTTAAGTTGATTTATTCGCCGTATCATTGATTAATCATGTGGGATTCTTTCTTAGATTTCGATCTTAAGGTAGCATCTATTTATTAATTTTTTTTAAATATTTTTTCTTAATAATTTATTAAAATGTGTCATGTGTTTGGAAAAAAAATTATATATATATATATTTCTTTTAGGGCAACTGAAAAAAAAAACAAATATCTTGTAACAGAGACAAAAATCGGAGACTATTAGTGTATGATCGGTCATACTTAGTGTAATTGTAAAAAAAAATTATAAACAGATCTTTCCTTATATATATATATATATATATATATATATATATATATATAATATATATATTGGTTTTTGTTCCTTCCAAGGAAAAGATGCATTTGAAAATAAAATTGGGGAAGTAAGGTTAATAACAAAAATTGCATGATAAGATTATAAATGAATTTAATTTTAATGAAATGTCATTATAAATTTTTTTTACACATTTATTTAATTTTATGTTGGCATATCCCTTTATTAAATTTAACTTTATTAATAACTATATAGATTATCTCTATTAAATTCCATCTTGCATATCACTTGAGATAAATTCTCAACTATAGTTGACTCTATTTAATAATTTTCTTATTTTTCTGATCATTCAACTTTTACTGTATTTTCTCCGAATTAAAAGGAAAGAAAAAATTCAGGGTGAAAGGCAAAACCCCATTTAACACAAGGATGGAACAGACAACACCACACAGCAGTTACTGTAGTAATAAGTAATTGATTAGGGATTCAGGAATAGAAAAAGAAAAAATTGTATATAAATATGATAAAAAATTGTGAATTGAAAACAAATAATAAAATCTAAAAATTAATTTTAAAAAATCATGTAAGATATACTAAGATATAATTAAGATATTATATAATATTTTCTATACTTCAACCGACTTATGTCAATTTATATACACGAGGAAGTCTCCTATTCCTATTGTCTTTTATGAAACCTTCACTTTACATAAGTCTAAACCTTCTGTCATAGGAATAGGAAGGATTCTAAAGTTATTATTGTCAAGTTTTCAACCTTAAAACAATGGCTGTTTTAAGAGTAAAGCAGGGAAGGATTAAGAAGAAGAAACATGAGTCCCTCAAAATTCTTCCAAAGGATTTAGTAGTGGAGATTTTTTCAAAGGTGGCATCTCATTCGATTGCTGACATCTGCAAGGTCAAACTATGTTGTAAAGAATTTCTTCACGCTGCAGAGGATAATTACGTGTATCAACATGCATCCATGGATAAGTTTGCATTGGTGCCACTGCAATGGTTCACCCAAGAAAAAGAATCATCATTCTTGAATCGTTGCAAGGAGAGTGGTAACTTAGAGATTTTGTACCGGGAAGGAATGGTACAATACTTCAGTTCTTTGAGAGTAAAGTTGGGTCTTGAAAATTTAAAAAAGGCAGCGTTGAAGGGTCATGGTGAAGCCAAATATGTTTATTGTATGCTTTTGATGTGCGGTGAAGATCAAGAACAAAGAAACTTGGGATTTGATCTTTTTCGTTCTTTGAAAACATCCACCTATGTTAGAAGATGCAGAGAGAGGGTGAAATCTTTTATCAAGAGCATGTGGATGAATAATCCAGTGGCTCGAAATCATCACTTATCTTTATGTCATTCTAGCACATGTAAACTGCAAAAACTTTCAAAAAGATTGTCGTCATGGGTTGAGGATGAAGATGATGGTATCACATGTGAATATTGCAACGGGGATTATGAACTGAATATATTTTGTAATATGTTTAGGGTCTAATTTCATTGTTGTAAAAAGAAATACACCTTCTGTTGTTTGAAGGTTTGTTTTTTTTTCTTTTTTTTCTTCATATTCGGATTGAATGTCCTTGGAAACGTGGCTATAGAAACTCAAAAAATAGAAAGAAGAACATGGGAGTCTATCAACTTTTCCAGAAAAATCGTTGTGCTCTGGATTTTTTCTCTTTTTCTTTTTCGAATTTATCAATATAGTTGCTCCTGCTGATAAGTGAGGAACCCAACGAAGAAGATGCCTAAATTTTCTATTTCTGCACATTAAACTCTTCATTATTAAAATAAAAATAAAAATCGCTTATTCTCGATATTGTGTACTTTAATTGATTTATGACAATCACGTGGGGTTCTTTCTTTGATTTAAATCTTAAGACTATTTTTTGGGGATTTCAAATCTCTTAAATTATTGTCATTTATTAACTTGTTTTGTGTTTATTATCTACTTTGAATGATTTATGACAATCATATTGATTAATCATGCGGAACTCCTTCTTTGATTTGAATCTTAATTAACGACTACTTTTTTGGGATTTAGAATCTCTAGAATTATTATCTATTAATTAACTTATTGTGTACTTTAATTGATTTATGACAGTCACGTTGATTAATCATGTGGGACTCTTTCTTTGATTTACTAATCCTCTTAGGTTTTTTATTGCTACTGATCTTTTACATGAAAGTTGGAGTCTTCAGTTTCAATGACTATGTTTAACAACCACTCTTTTATTATGTGGCTTCTCTTCTGATTTACTTCCTTCTTATGAAGTGTAGCTAATAACTCAATGTTCATAAATCTTTGTACGTTTTCTAAGCATGCAAGCCTACTTGATGCGAACAACGCATAGCACCTTAAAACTTGATGAACGAACACTATGTTGTTTTCGGTGAGGAATGAAACGAACTTGGAAGGAGAGGACAATCCTCGCTTTTGCTCGCTTTAAAAATTGATCCGAACGTTTCCAAAAAATAAAAATAAAAAAATTGATCCGAACGACATCAGATTTTAAGCATCGTTTAAATATACTTGCTCATTTGATCCCTTAACACAAAGAATGCGCAATTTTAATTCCTAATAAATTTTATAACAGTCAAATTTCTAATTTTTTTTTTAATTAAAAAAGTCATATCCCTGCAATGGGCCAGTAATTTATATATATAACACTACTAAATTTATATCTGAATAACATACACTTAGTAAATTCATTTTTATATAAACTCTCCAATATAAATAAACTAAATACAAATTAACATGTTTAAATATAAAAAAAAAATGGTGAATTAAATAAAGTCGTGCTTTACAAAATAAAATAACATGATGCTTTACTCAATAATGGTATCATGTCACCCATATAAGTCAGTACACTAAAAGAGAAACCTAATTTTTTTTCAATTAAAAAATTTAAAAGATTTGACATTAGGCCTTTAAAACAAGTTTCAACGTAGGCGTCAAAATTGGCTTTAGGAGCAACGGAGTATATAGACAAACGCAGTTTGACAAGTTTTTCTTCAAACACCTACTCTTAGTAATTTAGTACCACTCGTCTCTGGACAATTCTCCAAGTTGCTGCAGAGAAGGCCACTGCACCAATCATCATATTAAGGACAATCACAGAAACAAACTTGACTAAATACACATTCTATCAAACCAACCTATAAAATTCCTCAAATATATTCATAAATCAACACAATGAATGGAATAGGAGGAAACAACCAAATATCTTTTGAATGCAGTTTCAATCAGTCAAAAAGCAACTTTAATCAATGAAAAGCAAATACTGCAAAATTTGTGGTTAAATTAGCCAAGTTCTACAATCGTAAGACTCGAACATCTCCCGCAATAGTAGAACTTCAGACAAAACTATCATCACTACTACTGTTGTTTAACTTCAGCTTTCTTCTTCTGCCACAAGCGATCTAGTGCACTGTCAGCATCTCCCTGACAAGAAAAACATAAAATCATTAGGTAAGAAATGCAATTCGTGAGTAAATTATACAGGTGCACCATTGAAACAAATAAATCTTTAGTGCTACCATAACACTCAGTGCTACTTTCATTCATTTTGTGACAAAAACCATATCATATGATTAGTTGTCATTTAATTTTTTCTCTTTCCAGATGACATGATATCCACGTGTCACAAAATGAATGGGAGTAGCACTGAATCTTCAATGCTACGGTAGCACTAAAGATTTATTCCATTGAAACATACAGGCCCAGGCATGTTCCATAAGCCCGACAGGAATCAGAATACAATGATTAAGACAATTTCCAACATACATAAAAATGTAAACAAAGTACAAGAAACTGGACAATCTACTCAGTCGTTGATCATATTACTGTATCATAGCTTCATCCAAAAAGAAAAAAGAAAACATAGCACAAGGCATATAGAATGAGATATGAATACACAACCAAAGAAGAAAATCAAAAGTTCTTATAAATCCCCACAAACACGCTGCACATTCCTCCTCGGCCAAAAAGAAAAGTTAAAAAACAAAAAAGGGAGTAAGAAGACAGCAGAAACTCATCCTCAACAAATTGATATTCAGGCTAATTCAACTTTTTTTGAGAGGATATGCAGCAATAATCAACAATGTTTATGCAACATAAGCAAGGTTGATTATTACGTACAAATTAATAACAGGGCTTACTAAATTTTTGCGGTGTTTTAGAGATATTGCCAGGTGGGTAAATTAGAACACAATTCATTAACTACAACCGCACGATCAAATTGGTTTATAAGAGGCAAAAACACAATTAGTCAAAATCAACCAATATACGAAAAAAGAAGTATGGAAAGCCATTTGCCATTGGAAGCCAATCCATAGTGTTAAGTTGCCAAGACTCAAAATATTGTAAGACACAATCACACAAATCCAGCAAAAATAAACCATAATGCAATTCAGGAATACATTAGGAAAAGGGTCAAATAAAATATAAAGACCTGTGCTCTGATGTAACCACAGAGGGCGAATGTGGTGAAATGACCATTATAGATACCAGTCTCATCCAAGTGGCCAATGTTAATCTGAATCGAGGCATGGTCCTTTGAAGTTATCAGCCTGTTAGTGGCAGAGCTGCATCGTAATTGGGCATTAGTTCAAACTACAAAGGAACAAACAAACCCACAATTTAAGAAGCAATTACAACTTCAAATGTAAATATACCATTTCCTTGGAACGTATAGCTCAGTGAGCTTACCCTCCTCGTTCTGCATCTTATGCTCGTTGTATAAACCTCTTCGTCAAATATCTAGAAACCTAAATCAGAACAGAATAAGACTACAAGTGATTAAACCGATATAAAATTAAAATTTTCCATCTCAGGAAGCAGTTGCGTTTAACCATAAATGATTAATACAAAGAAAGCTATTTTTAATTAAAAAAAATACAAAAATATCAGAAAAAAGGGGGAAATTGAACATAGATTATCACACTGATAATGAGAGACAAAGGGGGGGATTAACGCATCAAAATTGGTGAGAATATTAAGAACGTAATAGGATAGATTAGCGGAGTCCAGAATCCATATTACATTACAAAATTACAAAATCACAAAATACATGAACAAGGAACCAAAGAGAGAGCGTACCACGAGAGGCGAAAGTTTTAGGGCTCAAGAAGACGATAGCATATGAAGCAGAAAAACCTAGTTTCATTCGGGTTTGGGCCGGGTTGGATTTATGCTAAGCCCGATTTTAGGCCTTCTAATCCCCATGTAATTTAGTCAAATCCAGTCCTTTTTTCAAACCAGGCCCACCCAAAAATGTTTGTTTCCGTGACCAAAACAAATGCAGAACACTAAAAAAAATGGATTGGTACATAGAGAACGAAATAACATAAATACTAGATTTATTTATTTTCTATGAAGGGATGGTAGATTACAAATACTCAAATTTAGTATATTTATTACATCCTCTCGATTTTATAATATAAATATGGTTTATTCATTGTGGCCAACGGTAGATACTGGACTTTGTTTCTATCATCTAGATCAGCCTCAATTTGCTGATATAAGCTTAACATATTTGTTATTAACTATTCTTGCTATGATCATAGGTATGTGAATCTGTGTATCACTTTTTTTTTTTAGACAATCTTTGCTCGTTGGAAAAAACCGAATGATGAGATAATAGAGTCATATGCTTTGTGAAATATATGACTTTGTTTATATAAATACATATACTTTGCTTATACAATACACATCAATGAGAAATAACTTTTAATTTTGATGGAAGGTTAGTGAAATTTTTTTACAAAATATTACATTGTTATTTAATAATATTTCGTCGCATTATTTAATAAGTTTGATAATTCATGTGTTAATTTAAGAGTTTGTTTTTTCTGCAGTAAGCTCAATACGACGTTGTTTTGGGACGAAAATCATGGTATTTTTGTAATTTTAATTTATTTCAGGGTTATTATAGTCTTCATAATTATAATTTTTTAATCTTTCAATTCCAAAACGATGTCGTTTTGAGAATAAATACAGATAACTTACCGACAGTAACTGTAGAAATATTTTTCTATTAACTTAATCACTAAATAATGTAGCATCATTAATTAGCAGTATAAAATTATTTATATTGACAATACATTTAAATTATTTAAAAAAAATTATAAATTAGCGCAACAAGTCTGTTTCCTTGATGAATTACTTTTAGTATATAGTCAGTTTTGCAGTTACAAAAGAAAAATATTATTCAAACATATTAAGTATGGATGTGAGTATGTGACGATGACGGGCACATTGCATAATCATCTACTTTATTGAGTCGTAAAGAACCAAAGGGCGTAAAATAAGACCTCAATCAGTGGCCGATAAACGTTACTTGAAGTTGAAACGTCAAACTGCAAAGACAGCTTCATGACTAACGCGGTTGCATGTGGTGTAAGGAAAGATGACACTAACTATAGCCTGATGCTTTATATAATATTAAAAACGTCGATTGTAGGTCTGTCTTACACTTTCTATGCCTGTGTTTGGTACATGAACATATCATAATACACAATTATTTTATGCCTTTTAAGTATTTCTTTAAATGAAATGAAACTTATGGTATTTAAAATATCTATACTCAGTAGGTTTTTTAACCAGTCTAGTCTTTATTCAATAATTAATTATCAAATTGATCTTGATTATAAATTATTTCAAAAATTTAACTTCTCCATAAAACATAACACCAATTTGTCCATATCTGTATCAAATCTACCCGAGTAACCCCCTTCTTACCCGGGTATTTTTTGAAATTTTTTCTCTACTCGAATAATCAAAGAGATACTCTGGTATATTTCAAAACTTTAGGAAAATATTTGATTTATTTGCCCGAATAAATAATCATAGCTTGCATATCCTAGCATATGTGTGTCTATCAGTTTGCCATAATAAATTAAAAGCACATAATGAAGTGACAATATGATAAAGCCTGTGAGCTCTATCTATTGGATTGACCAATATAATGTTTGTAGCTGTAAAGAGAATCTTCTTATAACTAACCTACGTTCGGGAAACTTTTTGGTTGTTATTAGAAAGAATGTTTTTTTTTGTATATCTGTAATATTTATTTTCTTATTTCTTTAGGATTGTATTAGGTTTGGGCTAAGCTCATTAGTGTGTCTATATTGTACATCATATATCAGTTCAATACATACAGTTTTATTTCAATGTTCCTCTTTTCTCTTGTTATTTAACATGGTATCAAGAGCCTAAGGAACTTTGAATTTTTTTTCCGGTGAACCCACTGTTCATTATTTTTTTAAAAAAAATTTCAGAACTGTCTCGTTGTCAGTTTTCGGACGTTTATTCTGCATTCAAGCCTCTGATTCCGTCAACCACCACCATCCGGTGGATTTTTCCGACGACCCACATACCGGTGTATAGAAATAGGTTGTCACTTTGTTCGAGAAAATGTTATTGCTGATAAAATTACAACTAGTTTTGTACCCTCTAATGATCAATTAGCAGATATATTTACAAAGTCTTTGAGGGGTCCTCGAATAAAATTTATATGTAACAAGTTTGGTGCATATGATCAATACGCTCCAGCTTGAAGGGGAGTGTTAGAAAGAATATATCTTTTGTATATCTATAATATTTATTTCCTTATTTCTTTAGGATTTGTATTAGGTCTTGGCTAAGCCCATTAGTGTGTCTATATATTGTACATCATATATCACTTCAATACATACAGTTTTATTTCAATATTTCTCTCTTCTCTTGTTATTTAACAGTTGTTTTTGTTGCATGATCTTTTTTAGCTATCAAATTACTATTTCCAATTTTGATTTTGATTACATGTGAACAGGTGAGATGCTTATACCTGAAGAGCACTATGGGAAGTGCAATCCGCGTATTTTAGATTCATATATCATATGTTCATTGATATGCATAGTTAGCGGGTGAAACTTCTTAGGGTGATGGATATGCAAGCGAGATATTATCGGTGGCTGTTGATGTCCCTTTGAGTCTCGTCATGTTCTTCTGATTTCAAAATTTGTTTGGTATTAATGATTTCAATTTGGTGCCTTCGAGGACCAATTTTGCAAATTTTGTACGTACTTTATTTGGTGTGCATCCAAAACTTTAAGTTACTATTCATGTTCTTCAAAGTTATGATTATTTACCTGAGTAGCCCCTCTTTACCAGGATAAATAATTAACACATTTTTTCAGAATTTTGAAATATACCAGGGTATTCTCTTGACTACCCGGATAGGAAAAAAAATTCAAGAAACCTCCTGGTAGGGAGGGAGGTACCTAGGTAGGTTTGAGGGTCAACGGTCAAACAAGAATAGATTGATGTTATGTTTTCTGAAAAAGTTAATTTTTTAAAATAACTTATAATCAAGATCAATTTAATAATTAATTATTAAATAAGAGCTACAACGATAAAAAAAACCATACTCTATCAACGGTTTAGGTTCTATGTACAGTAATATTGTTTAGTTGTATTTGAAAAATTTCATTCATCAACTGCGGTGGCACTTGGATGTTTGCACACATCATATCATTTATTTACATATATAACAGTTTCTCTAGTGAGTATTTATACATATAAAGAAACAAAAATCACCTGGAACCGCCCAAATAAGCCTAAATAAATAAATAAGAACAATAAATCAATGTGATTCATAGTCATAGGCTGGCCCCAACTGGCTTGCAATCGCGAATTCATGTTCTCTCTTTATAGGAATTTATTTATTTCATTTTTATTATTTATTTATTTATTTATTTTAGGGACACAAGATTTAAAAGGTTGAATAAAGTCAAATATATGATTGATTAATGTGTGCGAGTGAAGCAATTACCACTACCAGTCACGTTAAAGTCAAGTGGCAGCACTCGTAAATAAAGGGCACATCTGATGGCATTTGTTAGGAAGCCGTCGTTTAAAAGCTGAGAGCAGAGGCTCCTCCTCACCAACTAAACAGAACAGAACAGAACAGAACACAAGTAATTTCAAACATGGGGAGTTCAACAAGAAGCAGCTTCTATGGTTTCTTTCTGGTGTGTGCGATCTTGGCCGTCCACGTGTCTATCTCCTCATCATCCACCCTTGCTTTCACCGGCGACATTGACAACCAGCTCGGCGCCTTCTTCCTCCCGCTGAAGTCCGACTGCCGCGGATCCATCGCCGAGTGCAGCCTGCTCGTCGGAGATGAAGACGACACCGAGTTTCTGATGGATTCTGAGAGCAACCGGCGCATTTTAGCCGGCAGAGGGAGATACATTAGCTATGGTGCGCTGAGGAGGAACACCGTCCCTTGCTCACGACGCGGCGCTTCCTATTACAATTGTCGGCCCGGCGCTCAGGCCAACCCCTACCGTCGCGGATGCAGTGCTATCACCCGATGCAGGCGTTGAAGTTCTTCTACTCATTTTATCTTTACCTTTTTTTTTTTTTTTGATTTTTTTTATATATATATACTTTTGTAATTGATGAGAATCGGTATCGTTATGCTACTACTACATATATACATACAATTAGAGAAAGAGCAGTGTAAGTTCAATAAAATTTAATTGCCGTTTGTATTTGTATTTGTATTGTAATTTAATTTTAGGTAAACATCTTATTATTGATTATTATTTGGTTGCGTCAAAATTACTATCTGTCATTATTTTTATTATTGGTGTTAATCATCGGTTGTTTCTGTTTGTACTCTCTGCTTTTTCATTAACATATATGTTTTTTCTTTTTTTAATTTTTTTTAGTTGGAAATTTGGGGATATATTTGATGGCAGTGTGTGGTTGGTTTGGAAGGTAATGTGAACTGAAATTATGGGGTTTTGAAGATAAGGGCGATGGACAATATGAAAACTAAAAATGTGTCTCTTTTTGGATTTTGCCTTTTGGATATGTGGCTTGTGAGAGAAGGAGGCGGGTATTTGTTCGGTGCCTTATTTTGTTGAAATTGAGGAATGCCCCGCTGGATCTTGCCCGTTGATTATGCTCGCTATAATGTCAATTTTTTAGGAATATTTATCCAGATTTTTCTCATAAAAATAGCAAATAAAAGGTCATGAGTCACTTTCTCCTCTTATTATGATTCAAAACGAGTATAAAAAAAGGGCAATCGCAGTCCATGGTCATCTTTCTTTCTTTGTTAAAAGGACTCAATATTATTACTTATTCCGCTGTTTTTGTTTACGAGTAAAATAACACACAAATAGGCAACATCAAACAAAGTTTCAAGAATAGTTACGCAATTACAATTTTAAATTCCAACCTCCATGCCGCTGATAGCGCAGCTATCTCTTTTCGACCGCTTTTTTATTGGTCTTTTGAATTTTCATAATCAAATTCAATAATAATAAAAAAAATAAGAAAATACATCATTTCGTGTGTTAAATAATATAACAATGTTACATAAAAGTATATTAACCATTAAATATACAAATTAACAGTGATAATTTTGTAATTTTTTATTTTTTTCATCCTTTATTATCGTTGATTAACTTTTTATTTTAATTTCTTTTTCTGTTTTATCTTTTATTACCGTTGATTAACTCTTATATATTTATGATTCTTTCAAATGATATAGTAGCAATGAGTTTCAGTTGAGTTGGTTATCAAATCTATCACGGCCATCATCAAACTTAAATAATATACAGTAGACGTTTTCATAAGCATCCTTTAAAAGTGTCTTTAAAATCATCGCTTTCTTTTGCTTTCCTTTCCGAGGGGGAATGCTATTCTTCAATTAAAGCCAGCCTCACATGCATTATTATCCACATCAATCAAAATCAGCGAACGCGCTTCTATGATTATTATGATGGCATCTTTACTTTTTTGTGTGACAACCAAAATACACCTCATAAACCTTTGTCCCATTATCTTCTGTCCAACTATAATTTTGTCCCGGACCACCAACTTGAATGAATAGAGACCCCCAAATCCAAGGGTATAGACCCTTCTATATCTACATTCACACTTACTATATTTAATGGCTATCACTAGCTTGCAATGCTGCCCATATGATATCTTAATGTGATTGTGCATACATCAACGCAACGCAAATGCATCGAGGAACAGGAACTCTCTCCTAAGCTGTCGAATATCATTATTACACTTGATGTATCCACAATTTAAAAAATAATACGATATAACGAGAGAAAATCCAGCAATTCCATAGAATATATATGAATCGTTTGAGTTTTCGACGATCTGGAAAAACCCGTAAATGATTCATAATTCGATGAGCATTCACCAAAAAAACTTTTCCTTATCAATTTTACACGCATAAATATATTTGTTTTTGGATTTATGCGGAAGCGATTAAAGACCTAGTACATTGGGTATGCTTACTGAATCATCCTCGTTTCACAATTACTTCTTGGTGCGCAGGTCTCGTGTAGAATCTTTATTTGTATGATTCCTCTTCACGAACAGCTCACCTCAGTACCACAACATGAACAACCTCCTTGAAGCTAGATTGTGGCTGATCTTTCAGACTATGTCTCAAGGGGGAAACGGGAAGTGTGTGGGCACTCTCTCACTTTCATGAAGATGACCTTACCTCAGCTTCTGCAACCATCAAGTAAAGACAAGAGAGGCTGATGACGGTAAACATAGAATATATATAGAATATGTATGGGTTCCAAGAAATCCTAACTCTAAGCATAATGGACTTTAGGTTTCTTAGGCTCTTCTTACACTCTAGACTCTATTAGACTTTAGTGAAAAAGCAAAATTCAACATTTTACACGCATAAATATATTTAGTTACATATCTTCTATAAATGTAATTTCCATCATTCATTTTTCTATCTCTTTCCTTCTATATTATGGACTGCTGGCTCTTGGTTCCATATTCGTGTTGTCTATGTCCAAAAAGTTACGCGTAAATAACTTTTCATTCAGCGAATAAAGCAAATGGATTCTTCGCAAATATTTGGACCAATCCTTAGGGGGAAAGAAAAAGTTAAAGTTTAATCCATTTTTAGTTTCTTATGAGGTATTCTCACAAATTTTTTAATTGAGATTATTTCTGTCAATACCGCTAAGGGGCTGTTTGATATGGGAATTTTCTTATAAATCTTGGGAGAGAGGGGTGGGGTAATTTTTTTTTTCAAAGTTTGGTATGAGGAAACCGATAATTATCTCAGGAAACGTTTTTTTCCATCCTTTTATTTTACATATCATATTCCCAAATAAAAATATCATATGATATATGGTATTTTTATTTTTCCATAACATCAGTAAAATTAACTCAATATTTTTGAAAAAAATTTAGACTTATTGAACACTTCTTCATAACTTATCTGAACAAAAAAAAATTCACCATATTCTGGGGAATCTTTTCTTCCCACTAAAAAATAATATCTTTTCTAACAAATACCCGCTTTCTTAGAAGTTAAAAGTGATGTAGATGGGCTTAGGAACGGCAACAGGACGAGTATCCATGAGTATTCGTGTTATTTAAGAATTAAAAAAAAAAACAAATAAAATAAAAAGCACTTAGGTAGTGTTTGGTAGAAGATTTATTTTGGGATTGATAGAAAAGTGTAAGTGGATATTGAAAAATACCACGTTTGCTTCAGGTTTTTGAAAAATATACTAGGCAAATATGATAGATGGGGAAATAACTTTTGTGTTGAAATTCACTGTTACAGAATACCACTTGAGATGTGGTATTTTGAGATAACTGGGGAAGTGAAAAAACAGGTGCAAAGTTTCTCCCGAACATAGATTTTGCAAATTTAAATAAATTTTTCTAGTAATGTTTTGATCAACCAAACAACTTTTTTTACATTTTCCTACCAAACTCACTTTCCAACCATTTCCATAATAATTACATTTCTCTAGTATTCAAAAAAAATTTCGTCAACCGCCCCCTCGGTACAACCTTGTCCAACAATTTAATTTAAAAAAATACCAAACAACATAAATAAATTTATTCTATTTTGTAATAATCAAATTACATAAATCATTATTACATAAATGTTAAACAATTTTTCAATAATTTTTATTACTATCAACTTATTCACTAAAAAGAGTATTGTGAAACAATAAAAAAACAAAAAAAAATTATTTTTTATAAAAATAAAAGAGAAGAAAATATAATTTTTTGTTAGTTGTTTAGATTCTTCTTTTATTTATTTATCCTATTTCATGGTCCATTGATCATTTTGTCTTTATTTTAATTTTTTTATCACTTTTCCCCTCTTCTAAAAATATATATCAATATATCCATCTTATCAAATTATATATCAATTTGCTCATGTGACAGTAGTTACTCAAATAAATGAATCATTTACTAGAATAAATAAATTATCAAGTACTAGGGTTTCATCAAGTAGGGATAAATTGATATATATTTTAAAACAACTTTAGATTGATATATAATTTATGAAAAAAAGAAAAAGTGGACAAAAAAATTAAAACAAGAGTAAAATTGTCAATCAACCCTAATCTCATAACTATATTGTCAAGGGTTGATGGAAAATGAACAACGATTTTAGTTTAAGACAATTTATTTTATTTTTATTTATGATGAACTTTTTTAAGATTTTTTTTTATAAAGAAAATGGTTATAAAGGAATTAAAAGATCTACGGCAGGAGAGGAGACATCAAATAATTCTCAGAGCCACTGCTGTCACAACCACCACCACTATCTTCACCACGTCATAGCCACCACCACTATCGTATCGCCGCCACCACCACCACCACAACCACACCATATGAAAAAGAAAGCGATGATCCAAATTTTTTTTACATTTAATAAGAATTATTTTTATTATATTATTTGTTGTGTTATCAAACACAATTCTCATTCTCGGAATAAAAATAGAACATGTTATCAAACATAATTTTTTTTCCATAAACTGTTCCAAGGCACAAAAATAAAAAAAAAATTGTTTCTTTTCAAAAACAATGCTAGGAAATAGAATGGTTGGCATGCACATCTTTTGAGTCACTCGAGTTAAGATTTTCATTTTCATTTTCTAAAAGTTATTTGAACTTTAAATATGTAAAACTTCGTTACGTACCAACTCGTTAACATCGCATAATATTAAGCACAGGATAATAATAAAATTAAATTACTTCTTAAATAATATATTAAATGAAATGTACTTAAAATTTAATTATACATTAGTTGAAATTTGAGTTCATTATTATATCTGAAAAATATTATATTACATCATGTCTAAACAGACAAGGAATGTTTTTATTTCATCAATTACTCCACTGATTACAATTTTTATCAAGGGAAATAGACTCATTTCTATCACACCAGCAATATAGTGATATTATTGAACGATTCGGTTTTAAATGATTTCAAACTGACTTTGAACTAAACTTAAAAAAAAAAAAAAAAAAAACATTCAGCTTGAAGGAATATTTTAAAAAACCAATTCTTGTTATACAAATTGGTGTGATTCTCAATCCACTTTGGTTCCTTTGGGTTTTTTAAACCCCTGGCCATAATCACCCTCTTTGGTTCGGCCCAAAGTGCAGTCAGTTTCTTGGTCTTACGCCTTTTGTACACCACTTTGCTTCATGCACTTGGTCACTTTGCAATCGTCTTTCTTTATGGGTATAGCGTCTTGGCTAGTGTGGGCTGAAATAGGTTTCCTGCCTTTGCGTCGTTCAAGTCTCTTTAGCGGCTCTTTCAAGTTTATATTGGTCATAGGTTGAGAACGGGATGCACCTCTGGTGTGGTGTGTTAGTTATCGTGCCCACATTAAACAACTAATCCTGTTTTTCTTTGATAAGAATCAATACGATCCGGAGAAGAAAGTCAATTTATTACTTATGTAGCTTATCCTTTAGACCTTTTTGAGGAAGGTTCTGTTCCTAACATGTTTACTTTTATTGTAGGTAATGAAGAAAGTCAATTTATTTGTGAACAATGCGGAGTTGAATTTTGCTGATTCTCGAATATGTAGATATCAAATGGGTTATATAAAACTAGCTAAGAAATGGAGCCTCTTTTTTTTTTTCTTAAAATGTTTTGTTTTGACGGATCCCTTTTGTTGTTTTTTTGTTACTGGGGTTTCCAAAATTCTTTTCACATCTATTTTTTGTTTTGTATCAAATTAACTCATTTGGAGTTTTTATCCCTTTAATTTATCAATTTGATATTTGATTCACGATATTTATTAATAGAGGTCATTTAGTGACACAAAAGGGACCCAGAGCGTCACTCACATTCTTTTATTTATTTTATTTTATTTTCAATTGAGTGACGCCCCCTTCTCTTGAGGCACTCACATTCGGAAAGTCATAACTTTTGACTCGAGTATTTAAATAAGATGATTTTTTTTTTGATTTGACATGTTTTATCTTCCATTAACATAGTTCAAATTTGCAACACTAGTTCAACTTTTTTAAGGATTTGAACTATGTTTGTGAGAGATAAAATATATCAAATGATGTGTCATTACGTAAATATCAAAAAGTTATGTGAAATAAAAAATAATAATTTGATTTGAATACCCGAGTTAAAAGTTATTGCCTTCTAAAATTTTACAAAAATGGGACTAAAGATATTGTGCCACGTGGCACAATTCCATGAGTTCTCCGGGAGAGGGGGACGACACTCAAATGATAAAAAAAAACTGAATGTGTGAGTGACGTGAGGGGTTGTTCGCGACACTCGGTGTCGCTGGATCCCTTTGCGGCGCTGACCATTCCTAAATAATGTGAATCAAATACCAAATTGATAAATTAAATGGGTAAAAATCTCAAATGGATCAAAGAGGCCTCTTTGGGCATGTAGCACATACCTCGTAGTCATGTACTCGTTACAGCTTACGATAGCGGATTCGATTTTTTTGGTGTTTTGAACAGTTGTGGAACCCCCATTCATGTGTTTCTTGGGTTTAGAAAGACGGACCATTTATGAGTTGCACATTCTTGTCATGTTTTATTAGGACTTTAGTCCCCACAAGTTCAATTTTACGAATGGAAGTATATTTAAGCTTTTTGGGATTTTTGACTGTAGGGAGGAGAACTGAATGTAATGGTAATATATGTTATTATTTTGAATATTAAAAATACAATGAAATGGGAAGAAATGGACAAATTTTGTTGCATTTCTTATTTCTAACTTTTATTTATTTTTAAATTAGAGTGCAGGGTGCGGAATGAAATAAGAGAAACCTCATCCCATCGCTCACTTCATAATTCTTAACGTTCAATTCAGTTTTACTAGATTTTTTAAATAAATAAATTAAAACTTTTCTCTATTTTTATCATTAAACATCTAAATAATATTACGGAAAATTTATGTAATTCGACCTTACTTTTTGTCATTTCATTTATCATATAAAATGACATTCCATTCGTCAAAAATATCCAATCATAACCTTAAACATTAAAAAATAAATAAAACTTTCCTGTTCTATGTCTTCATATTAATGTATATAGAAATAGGAAAATCATCATCTCATTTAATAGGAAAACTCATTTTTTTTCTACTGACCCTTCGAAAAACTGCGCTTTTGCTTTTGCTTTTTCTATCTTGATGGGTCTCACTTTTAATTGAGTCTGCACGAAAGTATTTGCTTCTTCATATTATCCATACAAATAGTTGTATTGTAATCTTCACGGCATTATTACATTATTTTTTTAGAAAAATTTAAAGATGGCCAGAAAATTTACAATTGAAGAAACAGTGAGAGTTACTAATGCAAGTTGATCATGAAACGGTATACTTCAACGGATCTATGATTTGTTACTGATACACTATATTTTATGAGAATCTAAATAGTTTTTAAGTAAATTATGCATTTTATAAAAAAATTGTCTAAATATTTATGGGATAATTGTTTGTCATGTAACATGACACCATTTGTGTCATGTTACACACACAAAAACACGGGCCCCATTATACAGAAAAAAATAAAAAAAGTTGAAATGGATCCCACACTATATTGAGTGTGTAAGAAAGTAGAGATTTTTTCTATTACATAACACTTCTATTTCCCCTATTTATATGTGCTAATAGAGGAAAAATTTAAAAAGTAGGAAAATTATCCCATGATTATTTATAGAAGCTTCAATTCAAGGTGGCATTCTTTCTTATCAAGCAAATGTCAAATCAGTTCAGGTCAAATTAAAATGTTGCCAAGTTGACTTTAATTATTATTATTATTATTATTATTTTCTGTTTGAATATTATTTTTTATTTTTTTACACTTCATTGTTATTTTTCCCCATTTTGTGTGGTTTAAAATTAAATCACCATAAATATCAAGTAGAAATATTTTGTAACACCAATATTACTTTATATCAACCTAACAATAGTTGGTTACAATGAATCTCGTAATCGTCATTTTAGAGAGTTTTATTCAATCACGATTTTGAGTCTAATCATAGGTTAATCTATATTTTGGTTAAAAAATAGGAATTTGCATTCATCATTTAACATGACACAACAAAATTTTTTATACACACAATATTTTGTGGGGCCTACACTTTTTGAAAAAAATTAACTAAGACACGCAAAACGAATCTCTAGAACATTACACAATTAATTTTCCTACAACATAACTTTTATAAAACCCTAAAAAATAAAACATACCTATTATATTTATGGATTTAATCTTATCATATCTTATGTAAGATTGTAAAATCCCGGGCGCTGACGAGGGCGGAGAGTGATCACCGGTGCAAAGAGGCACGAACAAGGAACGACTCATGACAAGCTTAGCTTCCAGCAAGGGGTTACACGCATGAATGAATAGAATCGACATCTGAGGAATTCAAAGATTGTGCAGATATGAGACTGTGCAGTTTGGGATAACTTATAAGAATAATTGGTACTACCTATACTAACAAGATGCATCTACTTTTCGGTAGCGCAGAACGGAAGAACTCCATAGTTAAAAGTCTCGTGTTAATATGTGGGGATAATCATTGATTCTTGAAGCGGCCGGGCATTACAAAGATCAAATTATGTAAAGCAATTTCTGCCATATATTGAGAGAGCTGAAAATAAATATAGAGTAACAAAAAATAATTGACAATTGAAATAATCGCACATAAATAAGAGAATTCATTAACTTATATTATTTGATACTAATTAAATAACAAAAATTTAAAACATTAAGCTTAACCATAATTATACCTTTGGTTAGGTTAAATTAATCACTTTTTAACTCATGTTCTTCTCGCGTGTCTCACGCTTGAAAAAATTCAAGTTTTTGTATTGTTGTGAAAGCTAACTTTTTTTTTTTTTTTCTTTCCACAAATAATTAATTAGGAAGATTCGAGCCCATTTACGTATCATTTAGGAGATATATCATTGATATCCATATACGTGTTTAGTCCAGCTGTATACTGCAATAATTCAATCATGTAAGAAAAAGAACGAAAACATTATTGGAAGAAATGGAATAATAATAACAATAATAAAGGAAACAGCGGAAATAGAAGGGGGAAAAATCTCAGTTCGTTCTCCTTCATACATTTGTGGCTTTTTCTTCATCACCGACTGTCGAAATAAAAGACCCCAAATTCATCATTTATTTACGATCTTACCATCATCACCCTTTTGCACTTTTCGCTATCCAAATTATTTTATCACTTCACAGAGCTTGGAAGCAGTGTCGGTGGCGGATACAATGCTGGAGCGGTGCCTGGGAACTCGCCGACTCCGTCAGATCCAACGTGCGTGCCGTCACGGCACCGTCACCTTCTTCTGCCTCTTCCTCACGGTGGTCGTCCTCCGCGGCACAATCGGCGCCGGCAAGTTCGGAACCCCCGAGCAAGACTTGAAGGAGATCCGCGACCACCTCTACTATGGTGGCCGCCGGGTGGAGCCTCGCCGCGTCCTCGAAGAAGTTCAAACGGAATCCAACAGCTACGCCACCTTCGACATGTCGAAGATCCTAGTGGACGAGGATGTCGGCGGCGATGATGAGAAGCGTGATCCAAACACACCTTACAGTTTGGGTCCCAAGATCTCTGACTGGGACCAACAACGTGGTCGGTGGCTGAAAAAAAACCCGGATTACCCGAATTTTATCGGACCCAATAAGCCCCGGGTTCTTCTGGTAACCGGGTCTTCGCCCAAACCGTGCGAGAACCCGGTTGGGGATCATTACCTGTTGAAGTCTATTAAGAACAAGATTGATTATTGCAGGCTTCACGGGATTGAGATATTCTACAACATGGCACTTTTGGACGCTGAAATGGCAGGGTTTTGGGCTAAGTTACCTTTGATTCGGAAGCTGTTGCTGTCTCATCCCGAGGTTGAGTTTCTGTGGTGGATGGACAGTGATGCCATGTTCACTGATATGGCGTTTGAGGTTCCCTGGGAGAGATATAAAGATAAGAACTTTGTGATGCACGGTTGGAACGAGATGGTGTATGATGAGAAGAATTGGATTGGTTTGAACACTGGGAGTTTCCTTCTTAGGAATTGTCAGTGGTCGTTGGACATTCTTGATGCTTGGGCTCCCATGGGTCCCAAAGGGAAAATCAGAGACGATGCTGGGAAAATCCTCACTAGGGAGCTCAAGAATCGACCGGTTTTTGAAGCTGATGATCAATCTGCTATGGTTTATTTGTTGGGCACTGGGAGGGAGCAATGGGGGGATAAGGTTTACCTTGAGAATGCTTATTATTTGCATGGTTATTGGGGGATTTTGGTTGATAGGTATGAAGAGATGATTGAGAATCATCATCCTGGTTTTGGTGACCATAGATGGCCACTCGTGACTCACTTTGTGGGGTGCAAGCCATGTGGCAAGTTTGGGGATTACCCAGTTGAGAGGTGCTTGAAACAGATGGATAGAGCCTACAATTTTGGGGACAATCAGATTTTGCAGATGTATGGGTTTACCCACAAGTCACTTGCTAGTCGCAGGGTCAAGAGAGTGAGGAATGAGACCAGCAATCCCCTTGAGGTCAAGGATGAGCTTGGATTGCTTCATCCTGCTTTCAAAGCTATCAAGTTGCCTACTTCTTCTTGATGGTTTCCACAGTTTATGATTTGCTTCCACAAAATTTGAACCACTATTCATCTGCGGCCACTACTGCAGTTACGTATAGTATTATAGTACACGTCAATTCTGTAGCTGCTGTTGTTATTCATCTCTTTATCTAGTGTTCAAAATTGTAATCTTTTTTTATTTTGCTTTTACGGATCATTGTATTAGTATTGGGTTATATTGAACCTTTAGAATAACAAATACCCTCTCATCTGTGCCTATTCTTTGATTGAGTTTTGGGTAATGCTGCACTAGGTACAGCTGTTATTGGTTATCACTTTAATTTATAAGGGTCCTTACATTTATTTAAAAAAGAAAAAGAAAAAGAAAAAGAAAAGAAACATAAATAAATCTCTCTACTTTTTAAAGATGCTAAGTTCTTCCTAGCAATTTCTTTTAGGTAGTGTTTGGTTCAGGAGATATTTTTGTTTACTAAGAAAATGTAATTACAAGAAAAAGTGTAGGAAAGTAATTTTGGTAGAAAAGTTTAAAAAAAATTGTTTGGTACCGCAAAATATTACTGGGAATATTGGGTTAAAAATCCTATTGTGTGTTTGGTTTAAAATAAGATTTAGATGGGGATGTTTCAACTTGTCACCATTTTCTTCCCCAAAAAAATTTAGCCAGTTTATGAACAAAAATACCACATTCTTAGATGGATTCATCAAGAGTGTATTATCTCATTTTTTACATGCAATCCAATTTAGCTAGGCAACCTAGTTTGATAGATAAAATTAAGGTAGTGTTTGGTTCAGGAGATATTTTTATTTACTAGGAAAATGTAATTACAAGAAAAAGTGTACGAAAGTAATTTTGGTAGGAAAGTTAAAAAAAATTGTTTGGTACTGCAAAATATTACTGAAAATATTGAGTTAAAAATCCTATTGTGTGTTTGGTTTAAAATAAAATTTAGATAGAAATGTTCCAACTTGTCACAATTTTCTTCTCCAAAAAAAATTTATCCGATTTATGAACAAAAATACCACATATATTTTATTTATTCTCTCTCTTTATTTTTTTTATTTTTTTATTCTACCTATATATTTTACCGATATGTGATTAATTCGTTGATGATATTATTTTAGGAACCTATTATGCTGCTGTTATTGAAAACCGTGCTGATTTTGTTGGTCGTGTAGTAGTTGATGTGGGTGCTGGTAGTGGTATTTTGTCATTATTTGCTGCTCAGTAGCTCAACACCTTAATTGTTTGTAGCAAATGACAAGTGTCATTGCTTCTAATTCAATGAAAATTGTTGGCGTCTCCTTGCGCTCTACAAGCTAGTTTTTTTTTTTAATTCTGTCTTTCCCTTTCAGGCTGGTGCAAAACATGTTTATGCTGTGGAAGCATCTGAAATGGCAGAATATGCACGAAAACTAATAGCTGGGAATCCAACACTGGCTCGACGAATTACAGTGAGATCTGTTCCCTGGCTTTTTGCTATAATCATTATTCATTAGCTATCCCACTATTCAGGGAGCTTGTTTATTTAATAATTATATATAGGTTATTAAAGGGCAAAGTTGAGGATGTTGAATTACCAGAGAGAGCCGATATTCTGATCTCTGAGCCTATGGGTAGACTCATATTCTATTTTCTTTTATCAGTCTTGAGAATAATGCTGATATTCAATGTATAATTTATATATGTATCTATATTGTCGATATGTTTTGTTTTTACTGTTGTGTAATGTAGAGCTAAGTTGTGGCATATAATTGTGAAATGCCAGTGTTTTATAAGTTGGAAAATTTTCTGTTTTATTGTGCAGGTACCTTGTTAGTTAATGAAAGAATGCTGGAATCTTATGTCATTGCCAGAGATAGGTTTCTCAGCCCCACTGGGAAAATGTTTCCTGCAGTGGGAAGGTAAATTAGCACCCTTTCTGCTTTCTTGGAGCTTCTTGCATATGGTATTGGTAATACTAAATGTGATTATGACAATACAATTCTACTGAGCTAAATTATTGGCATATAATTATCTGCCTTTTCAAAGTGACATAATTCCATTTAAATTTATTTTTTATCCCATTGACAGTTTAACAAATGAATGGTAACATCTATTGTTATTTCAATCACAGTTCACAATAATAACCAACTACATCATGTTTTGAAAATGTGTTATTTATGTCGTACAGCTATATTTTGTTTGTTTTCTAGAGCTAAATATGATTTTTCAAGGTCTAGAAGCTTACTTGATCTATATGCTATATTGTTTAATTTCAAATGATTTGGATTTTGGGTGCGTTTTAGATAAGATTTGCAAAAGAAAAAAAAAAAAAAAACGCTTTTATGGTATAGTCTTTTTTTAGAAGCTAATGAGAAAAGCACTAAAACTATTTTATTCTAAGCTCTTTACTTTTTAAAGATGCTAAGCTCTTCCTAGCAATTCCCTTTATTCTTTTGTTTTTCTCTTCTTCTACACTGGTGTGGTGGATAAATTGACGAGAATGATTCCCTTCTTCGTGATTTGCTATTTTGTTAAACTTATCTTTTTCGTATTTGTCAAAATATGGTAGAAATCTCCAATCTCCAATGGATTTCTTTCTGATTTTGGGTACTGACCTTCAGACTAGTCTGTTCGGTATCTTGGGCCATCTTGTGGATGAGATTTCACTACAAATATAGTTCTTTATTTAATCCTGCCCGTAATGCAATTCGCAGTCATTACTACTAATACTAATACTAATACTAATGTACATATATAACCTGCGGAATTATGCATAGATTGACGAGTTTAGAGAAAACTTCTGAAGGAGGCATTGAATCCTCCGAATCTGTTTTGTCTCACTTTTTCTTGAATCATGGCCAAAAAGAGACTCGCTTCTCTTCTATTAGGAGGATTTCCTGTTGCCCACAGCATGTAAAGTGGCAAACTAATAGATGCAATGCAACACAAATCGCTTATCATCGCTCCAAGTCCAGAGCAATAGAAAGGTCCGACCGAGTATTCAATCATATATAACCTACACCAGATTATGTCATGCCTTTAATTATTCATATAGTATCGGCTTGAGAGATAACCAAGAAAAGAACCTCTTAATAGTGTTTCATCTTTAACCCCGTTCGTGATGAATTAATTATCTTCAACATAATATTGGCTGAAAATTCAGTGGAAAAAAATAAAAAAATAAAATAGTGGCTTCTGATGGAAATTTTGATTGTTTTGCTAAAATAAGAGTAAGGACAGTAGGTATTTTTTATTTTCTTAAAATATATATATATATATATATATATATTATGTTTTAAATGTTATCATCTAAATCATTCACTAATAACTTGCTAAAAATGCGATATAAATGTATAATTATTCGGACAAAGTTTATTTAAAATAAATTTATCTTAACAGTACGTGAATTAATGTGTCTTTATTTTTCGCTTAGAAATTTGTTTACTCCAGTAACATGTTTGGTACAACTGTACAAGTAAACAAAGTCAATTTACCGGACATTCTTGTATTATCAGTAACGTGATTTACAAAGAAAAGTTACCGTTCAGATTATCAAAAAAAATATGATAATTCAGAATCCAACGTGAAGGGAAAGCACCACACCAAAATTTGAGACAAAAATACCCAACACAACTTTTTGTAATCTTGAAAGTAAAAACATTCAGAGATTATTTTTGTAATATAATGTCATATTTTCAGTAATATTTTTATTATAAACCAAACATAAAATCAGTATTCTTTATCCAATATTTCTCATAATATTTTAGCGAACCAAATAGTTTTTTCGTAACATTTCGAGTAAACTCAGTTTTTTATTGTATTTTCAGTAATTGTGATTCCGAATAGTAAAAGATTTCTCTTATATCAAACATACCGTAGAGTCAATTGCATTCAAGGACTTTTCTTAATTATTTAATATTGAATTAACAATTATTCTTTGACTTTATTATGTTGTCCCCTGTTAGAAAAGTGTTGTCATGAAAATCTATGGATAAATTTGTTAGCACTGGATTTTCTTTTGTCGTTCTAGTCGCAGACGGGAGAGTTCAGGTGACGCCCGATTAAACCATACGTTTCAATCTTATATATATATATTTTCAACTTTGCATTACAAAATTAATATGAATAATTTTTAAGGGTGTTTTTGGTTTGAAAGTTTTATATTTCATGTTCTTGTTTCTTAATGATCCTTTTAAATTAAATTGTGAACTTTAAACGATTTTTTTCCTACCAAGCTAGCAGTCAAAATCTTGATTTACATTCAGAGGAAATTTTCCTAATTTGTGGATTTTTTATTTTTATTTTTTATGGAAGTTTTTCAAATGCTAAATATTGTAATTAGATGGTCAAGGAAGAAATACCTATTTGTGACATTTTACTTGAAAGTTGCAGTCTTCAGCATCGATGATTAAGTTTAACAACCACGTTTTGAAAGTGGCTTTTCTTACGACTTACTTCCTATGAAGTGTGCTTATTATTCATGTACCTAAAGCTCTGTTCATTTCCAAAGTATGTAAGCTTGCTTGATAAAAAAAAAGATATTATACTGAAACACTATAGTTTCATTTAAAAGAATGGCAAAATGAATTCTTATGTTGTATATGTTGGATATATGCTCTTTTGGTCACTAAAGTCCTATTGGGCTTCAGTGAAACTTGAGCCCATGAGGCTTAGGGTTGAGTTATGTCTAAAACCTAAACGTATATATTCATAGTTTTCTCCTCTTGTGCCTCCAAGGTGAACAGATCATCAGAAACAAACCCCAAGAGGCAGACGTTCATCATCTGAACGGTTGCCCACACAACCATCTCATCCTCCTCGAGAGATAGTTTGGAAGATCTGCCACAGTCCAGCTTCAAGGAGGTTGTTCGTGCTGCGGCGCTGAGGTGAGCTGTTCGTGAAGAGGAATCCTACAAGGGAAGATTCTACACGAGACCTGCGCACCGAGAGGTAATTGTGAAACAAGGGTGATTCGGTCAGCATACCAATGTACTAGGTCCTAAACCGCTTCCGCATAAATCTAAGATTTCCTACAATTGGTATCAGAGCCTTGGCTGTACATTGGTATGTGAATCTAGTTTCACTATTCATGTAATTAGTTTTGCTTCTTGAAATGTGGCACCTAGGGTTCTAGGATTATGGTATGAATCTAGCATGTGTATTTTATAATTCAATTTCATAAAAGTTTAAATTTTAATCGGTAAAAATGCTTTAATCCATGGTTAGGGTCTCTCGTGTATTTCTCGATTTGTAACAAGGAGGCTAATCC